GACACATCTGTGCCATTTGAATATTATGGTCTGCACTGTTCATTTATATACAGTCAACTGGTATATATTTTTGGCCATTTCTTTTTTTATTGAACTGATGACCATGGTCCCTCATTCTATTGTTATTGTTAAAAATGGACCCTCAACCTTATAAACCAGTATATGACTGATGAACAATGAATGCCATTTCGAAATATTAATACATAATATAGGTCAATATCACTGGGCTTCCGACATATAGTTTTTTTTTATTGTTTTTTGCCACTCCAACACAGTACAGGTCATATATGGCAACTTTCCAGCTCTACTGGTGGAGATAGAGTCCTCAGATGGCACTCTGTGCATAATTTTAAGCACAAATGGTCACACAAGTAGAACCACATACATTCCATAAGCTAGTGGGATCGAGGGGCAAGTGGTTTGAAGTCAACACTTTTCTCTCCGCAACAAACATCCCAGCCTCCAAAATAGTTCTTTTTAAAGTAGATTTGCTGGCGGAACAGTAAAACATACTAGCAAAAGTAACTGTTATGTATCTTTTTTATTTAAACTGACATGTAACTACTTTTAAATGTGCCCAAAACTGGAAGTTTACTTAACCCATTACTGCAAATAATAGCTGTTTTCATTGAAAAGCCTCCAGACCTGTTACAAGTTCAAATTGCCATGAAACTATAAAAAATACTTTAATACTGATCAAACTTGGCACAAATGTTTACCAGACCATAGCCTTTGTAACAGCATGCTCAGTCTTAAATTTCCTGTTGCCATGGCAATGAGGAGACATCTCAAAATTGGCAAAAGTTACTATTTTGTGTTGATCTTTTCCATCAAAATTTTATTTCAAAGTGCTGCAATTTTCAAACCCTCAAGCAGAAGAGGGCATATTCACCTCTGGCAACCCCCAACCCGATGTATCTTTTTGACAGGGGGCGGAAAAATATGATCACTGGTTTTACAACATTTCTCAAATGAAAATGGAAACATTTGGGACCTTAATAGGACATATTTCACTAATTGAGGCCTTAAAAAGGGCGCGAGGGGGACGCGTCTATATAAGGTAAAGGGTTAAGTAACAAAATTTCACATAACACAAGAAAACAAGACTTCGAAAGAGAAAAAGGAATTTTGCCACATGATCCTCAGATGGATTTTTAGAATTATATTACATCCAACCTTACAACATGGTACTTACATGAACATAGTGTTATATAGGGTATTATCAGGCAAGTTATCTGGAAAATATGCATTTTAAATGTACACTTAAGACAATTTTTACATTGAACTGAAAATAAAACCCTATCCAAAATAGATGTTATTTCTTTAACTTAAAAATATACACTACAATATTTGTTTAGTCTGGTCGTCACTAAAAGGTCATATGCAAACTCTCCAGCTTTACTTAGTTTAAACAATATTTTCATTCACATAATAAAATACATAAAAATAAATTTTACTCAACGAGTAGAAAGCTTAAAAAACTTAATTAAAAAATCTCTTTGTACAGAAGCTGGAACAGGATAATAATGTCTTAGACTAGCAATGTTCAATATGAACGTGTCTGCATGGAAATTGTTAAGAATGACATATTGTTTCATAGTAGGTCATATTTCTGAAAATTAATTTCTGAATCTGTTGAAGAATAAAAGTTATTGATCAGACAAGAAAAATTGACCATATATTTGATTTATAATCTCCAGCTGGACAATTGGTGTATTTATCAGAGCAAGTTCGACAAGATGAATTTTCATACTTGTCATAGACTGTCTTGTTTTGGTTTCATGCCGATTTGAACACATTATCGGCCCTATCTCGGCAGTCTATATCCTCATAGCTTTCCTTGATAACCAGTAATTACCAATAACTCTACAAGTGACTGATTACTAATCTCACATCTCCATTTGACTCTATACCCGTGAACAACTGTCACGGAGAAATTACAACTTGCCTTGCGGGCCCCTGAATTATTCATCCATTTCTCCCTATTAAGTGGGCCGACAATTTTCATGGAAAACATTATAACATAAGAAATCTGGGTCTAGATTTTTATTTCTCACTGAAACATATCTGGACAAAATATTTATGTTTCACAACAAATAGTGCAATTAACAACAAATAAACTATAGGATATCACTGTAAACGGCACAATATAATAATAATAATAGTCAATGTTCAGAACATTTACCTAAACAGGTCTAAAAATATAAATGTCAACTAATCTTATATAATAAGATTTTTCATATAAATGAACCATAATGAAAGCTAAATGAACAGGATTTTAATTAACTTAATCTTCACTCAGAAAAAAACCTGCAATCAAGACTGTTAAACCCCACAAATTACATGGTAAGAAAGTTATTTTTAGTTCAAAAATATATCATATTGAATTGTATTGATAATTTTACAAAAGTCCAAAACATTAGCCTTAAAGACATAAAATAGCTCGTAAAAAGTATTGAACATTTTTATTTTTTGTAGAGATTAATAAAAACTTACAATGGCTTGCCCCTAATTGGGTGTAGAAATATACGATACCAGTTCTAGTTCAAAAACAACACCTAAGTACGATAAAGTAATGCAAGGATAAGGGCTTTAAGGTTTTTTAGTACTCACTCCTTTACCCAGTAATTTTTTATTTGTGGACCATACACCACTTTCATGGTACTTTCGTGTCACATTGATTAACCCTGTATGAACACATCTGCATATGTTTCTAAATCCAAAAGTTCACCATGATGATTTCGGCTTAAGCCGGTGCTAGGGGGCATTAGCAGTAACTTGCAAATTCCAGTACCATCAATGAACAGCCTCAATCAACACTTCCAATTTTGTAATTTTGGGTGTTCTTTAGCGATTACGTTTTACTCTGTAATTTTAAGGGTTTGAGCATGTACTGGGGTTGGGGCATTGTTTTAATGCATACAGGTTGTCGACATGTAGTCAACAAAATAAGACTTAAAAATGATGTGAAAATTGTTTGACAAGTTTTCATCATATTTGAGCTCCGATGAAATATATTGAACAAAACAGCTATATCTTATTAATGGGAAATAAAAACAACAAGTATTACAACATAAAAAGAACAACAAATTACTACAAATATTACTCAAAATTAAACATAAAAAGTTGATTTAAACTACTTTTATAATACTAATATAATATAAATAAATCTAATACTGGTAAAGTTAAAAGAACATTTATGTAGATAATAAACCTGGACAACTTTACACGATGAAAAATGACGCCACAATATACATGTAAATAAAATGCTAATAGTAACATCAGGTGTTCTAGTTCAGATTCTAGTGGATTTATCTTAATATAATAACAAGCTACCTGAATAAATACAAATATGAAAGTTTAGAATGCGAATCTTTAGTTATCTATATATTTATTTCTCTCTATTGGTATTGTATAGAGGCAGTTTCTTTTAGATAGGAGTATCTCTAAAGTATAGGTTTTTGAAGCTAATGAAACTCTGTTTTCTTTATGACTGTGTGAAAAATAAAACATGTCAGCATCATATCTTTCTTGATTTGATTGTTTGTTTCATTTTATGCCTTTTCCCAACAGTATTTCAGTCATATAGGCGGGTAGTTTCCTTACCATCGTTCCTGAAGAGTTACACCAGTACTAGACTATCTTCCTCCGCGCTAAACTACCAAAGCATCTCCCGGGCATCGAACCAATGCCAGAGAGGTGACTGAATTAGAAGTTATCGACTCTAACCCCTCGACCACAGAGGCGGTTATATATCTTTTTTGAAAATCTAATCAGAGAATTGCTCTACTTTAACCCATTACTTCATGAGCATTTTGTGAAAAATGGCTGTTTTCATTGAAAAGTCTCCCGTTACAAGTTCAAATTGCTATAATACTATAAAAACTGCTTCAACACTAATCAAACTTGGCACAAATGTTGACTGGACCATTGCACTTGCAACAACATGCTCAGGCTTAAATTTTCTGTTACCATGGCAACGAGGGGACATCTCAAAATTGCCAAAAATCACTATTTTGCGTTGATTTTTTCCATCAAAATTGATTTCAAAGTGCTGCACTTTCTCAATGGATTGAGATAGAGTCAAATGCTTTTCAGCGTTGGTTACACGTTACCTTATGATCAATCTGGGGTCATTTACAGCCTCTCCCAAGTCCAAAATTTTTCTTGGCGATGAGGGGGACTCCGCCCCCCTTCAAACCCCCCAAACAGAAGGGGGCACATCCCCCTTCTGGCAACCCCCTGATGTATCTTTTGGTTGGGGGGCCGCGCCGAAAAAGAGGTCACTTTTTTTAACAACATTTCTCAAACAAAAACAAGTGTTTGGGGCCTAAATAAGGCATTTTTTCATCATTTGAGACAACAAAAAGGGGGGGGGGGTGAAAAAGGCGTTAAAAGGCGTGTATATGAAGTAATGGGTTAATAAACCCATTTTCCTTTTTAAGAAAACTAATCAGACATCAGTAAATTAATCAATATCTTAAAAAATCAATATCATCAGTGATCATGTCACTATTAATCAAGATTTAAAATCATCACCGTCAATAATTCAGTGTACAGTTCATCATATCTACATATCCTTTTATTTATGTTTCTTATATAAAAGAGAGGTTGATTCACCTTTGTTGGTACATTTACAACAACATTTACCTAAAGCCCGAGCCTGCCAGGCAAAGGATTGAAAAAGTCTGAGGACTGACTACTGCAGATGTTAATGTACAAATCGAGGCGCATAAAGGTTATTATTACATGCTTTTCGGTGGTTTATAGAAATATATCAGTGATATAAAACTGGTAATTTTACTGTTTGAAACAGCTCGGGCTTTAGGTTGCGCCACTCGTGAAATATAACTTTTGGTGCTCACTCGGTAAAATATATTCTGATCTTACACTGAACTAAACAAATATCCTCTATTTCTTGCATAAAAGTTTATGTCCAATGCGTTTTTTTCTCATTCTTTTATCTGTTTTTTTAGTATAAAGAAACACATTTGTCATGGTTTTCACGTGTTGGTATGATGTTATTTGACAGTAATGTTTTGAAAATGAATTTATATGGATCGTCACTGCAGTAAGTTACTTTTACATGGCACCCTGAGTTGTGAATATTAATATATGTGCAACAGCGGTGTGTGCTCGCATGTAATTTTCTGTTCATGCATGTTTTTTCTCTCTGTTAATGTATAACTGTATGTGCTTTTTTTAAGCAAGAATAATTATTACATCAAGAAAAAGGATTGAATATCAATATTGTAGCTTAAACAAAACCCAAATAGTTAAAACACTCCTACAATAAAAACTTCACAAAATACATTTGTGTTATATTCTACCTTACATTAATTGCTTGTTAAATATTCATCTATATATGCATTACAAACAAGACTATCATATTACCCTGTAATATAATTTGTATCTCCTATAACATAATCAAGTTTCCCTCTACAAAGCCTAAGTATGAATTGATATATCTAATTTACCCTCATGTGTGTATCAAAATAGGCTGTTTATAACAATATGTAGGTGAAATGATCATTTTCAGTACATGAACTTACAAAATGTGTTTTTCAGAAAAATTTGAAATGAAAATTAACACTACTAGATGATAATCCATGGTTATTTTGATAATCATCTTTACAGGAATAATTATATTTTGTGTAAAACATCAAATATGAAAACCCTCACTGGGTGATAGCACATAATATTCATCTATCAAATTAACTGTCAAAAGTAGCTTATGCTTCAATAGTCCTTTAATCAAAATTGCTAAATTTATGTAATGCATTAGGAAAGAATTCAATGTGAAAATACAACTTGAGCTACCAACAGTCTAGTGCCTTGGTTAGATGGATATTCAGACTGGCCTGGTTTTATACTGGAGGAAAAGGAGTATAGGACAAAAGCCCTCCCAGACAAAAGCTCTCCTGTCCAAAAATGACAAGATAGACAAAATCCCTCCTGTGCAACTGACAGGGCAGACAAAAGCCCTCCTGTGAAAAATGACAGGGCAGACAAAAGCCCTCCCGTAAAAAAATCTTTTGTCCGCTTTGTCATTTTTGGATGGGAGGGTTTTTGTCGGGGAGCGCTTTTGTCTGTTTCCTGAGGCTTAGACTAAGCACTTTCAGTGCCAGCAGTTTATTCCTTGTTTAGTTTTATGTCAAACCTACACAGTATAGTTCATATGGCAACTTTCTAGCTCAAACAGTGGAGGAAGACCCCGGGTGCCCTTCCGTAAATTATTTCAGGCATGAAAGAGTTGGATAGCTTCCTCTAAAGTTCCTGTTGGGATTCAAACCTGAAGTGACCAGACGCAAGTGGTTTGAAGTAAACGACCTTAACCACTCAGCCCTCCGCCTGCTAACAGTTTAAGGAATAAACATAACTTGTATTCGGTGAAAAATTATGTTCTACCACCTTTAGTGGAATGGTATCTTGGTATTTTACTTATTTGGTTTATTTTGGTTTTTCTACCAATTTAAGCATGTATGTTTGGTCATATCTTGGCAGATGATTCACCATACCAGCTTTCCAGGATTAAACAGTTGTTACCATTATCTCTGCGAGTGACCGACAAATAAACCTACATAATTTCTCAATCAGCCTTGAAAAGGCAAATGACCATTACACTCAATGTCTGAGATCTATTGTCATGGATAATTACGCCACGTCCAAGGATCAAACCAGCAACCACTGGATAACTTAACCGATATTCTCCCTATTGAGCTAAGTCGGCTGACATTGTCATAGTTCAATAAAATACATATTTACAACTACAAGAAGTGGACTAACTCAATCAATATTTGTAGAGGAAAAACATTTAACATGCTTTTCTTTGTGCTAAGCAAACTAATAAATCTAAAATACAAAAAAAGCAAACCTCAATAAAAAACAATAACGTCAGCAAAACAAAGCATAATTCTATCAACAAAATCAAACAATTTCATTCATGTTTAAATCTACATATTTAGGCAAGTTAAAATATTTTAAACAAATATTTTAATAGCAACATTACTGGCATACATAAATTGCACTAAAACTTAAAACTGAAATGGTACATATCTCACAAAATAAATAAAATGCTACTAGGAACTTTTCACTACATATTATGCAGAAAATTATTTTTTGCACAGATTGATCCCACTATGTTGAGGGAGTTAAGTCTATATGTATATACCTTGTATTCACAAATTCAAGTCATAGACAAATATATTTCTGTGGAGTTTCTGTGGTCATTAACACTTCTAGAGCTGTTAACAATATCACTGTAAAATGCTTTACTTGTAGACAAGGACCCCAGCAGCCCCTTCATGCATTATTTCAAGCACTAGCAAACACTTGGGTAGAACCACCAACCTTCCGTAACTTGGCTGGCTAGTTTCCGCACATGAAAGAAGTTTCAAAGGGGCATAATTCTGTAAATATTGCAGGCAGAGTTATCCAACTTGTCAATCTGATGTACATTGTTACTATAAATAAGTATTGTAAGTTTTAATTGAATATCTCAAGCAATAATTGAGATATTTGACTTTACAAAAAAACTTTAAACAACGCAGACACCAACGCGGACACCGGGGCGACTGCAATAGCTCTCCATATTCGAATAGTCTAGCTAAAAACACAGCAACAAATAAATGATATATACTTTGAATAATTCGAATCCTGTCTAAAGAATGAATTAAACTTAACACAGCTAATTTATCAGAACAAAAATTGATGTTTTCAGTCTTCAGTGTATTAAATGCAAATTTGTATTGTATTGAACACACCAAAAAATGGCGCAACTCAGATCTAAAATTTAGATTTTTTAATATGTTTTAAAACAAACAAATGCAGTAAATCCTGTGGGGATTTCATGTTATTCACAACTGTAAATAAATATAAATGAGATCTTACAAATTAATCTAAATGAGAACATATTATACTCTAAAATATCAAAAGAAACAACATGATTTATCTCAATATCACTCAAACTAGTACACTAAAACAAGGGCACATTTTATAATGTACATAAAACTACTAAGAATAACTAATGATTTCAAATTGTGAAGACTATACAGATGGTTAAGATCTAAATTGATAGTAACTTACTATTCATACTATGTTAATAAAATAATTACAAATAAATGCAGTGACATTACAGGCAAGTTGAAAAATAAAACCTAATATAGACATATCTTATTAAAGTGTATAAAGCTATATATCTCAGCTGTCTAGAGATTTACACAATTTTTGTTTCAAAGTATAATTTCAAAATGTCGAAAGAGAAATATGTTGGTATACTTCCTTTTGAGGGAATGGTGCGGGCATTAAATCATTGGTAAACGGTTAAAATCTAACTAAAAATAGAAAGATAATATTTTGTTCCAGAACATTTTATTCTGTTTACCAAAAGTTTTCATGTGTGTTAAACAGCAGAGATATTCTATTTACAACTCTTTCAAGAATCAACCTAAAAATTATGGAAAAAAACAACATATTTTTAACATTTTTAAATCTAAATAAAAATATTTTCATTTCAGCTATATAGCCTATAATATATCTAAACACTCTAATTATAAGTGCTAGGCATACAAACATGTAGTATTATATACAATGTACATACAGACCAGTGTAAGAAAATCAATACAGTCATTTGATGACTTTACTCTTCTTAATCACATTAACTTCAATATTTCATATTAGGAGATATATATATATATATCAAATTATCTCCCTTTCTCATAATTTCTTACACCATTAAATATAGGTTAGTGTTCATTACTTAGCATTTACCAAAATTTAATTGGTCAAGAATGGCACAGCCATTAAACTTATATAATATGGTAAATGTTTACTAATGAACACTAGCCAATTTAGCATTTGAAATTATTTTTAAAAACAGTTGATTTACTACATTAATTAACAGTTAACTGATTTAGCAAGTAAATGAGTTACAATTAAATTGAAATACTGCAATCCTATTGGACAAACAATAGCACGGCATGTAGTGTTAACACTCATCTGTTAAAAATTCTAAGTTAAAAAGGGGCATAACTCTAAAATGTAGCTTTCAGAATGATTCCCCTTGTCAAACTACTGTGCCTTGTCATGATAAGCAAGCATGAAAGTTTCATACTGATACCTTTAAAATTGTTTGAGTAATAAACTACATTAAAGCATTTGCACGACGACAAAAAAGACCCAGAAATCACACTAGCTCAACCTTTTCCCCAGTAAAGAAAAAGACAAGCTAAAAAATGATTTCAAAAACTAACAATCATTCATAATATTATTAAAATATAATGGTAACTTTATAATTCATTTACATTATCAACATTATTTGTCCTGTTCATGTCACCAAAGTAATCTTACAACACCAGCAGATGAATGGTTAACAAATTATCCCTGCAATTATGTCAATGTTTCATCACAAATAAAAATTGCACCCCCTTCCTCCTAAAACAATAAAAAAAATCTGCTTAACTTTCCAATATTTTTGAAATTAAGCATAATAAATTTTTTATTAATTCTCAAAATGTTTCATGGAAACATATAAATCGAAAAGATTAAGATCTTTTCTTTCATAAATGTCAAATAAGTAAAGTATATGTTATATATGTTGGCAAGAAGTTACACAATTCATCACTAACAGGGTTCATAAACAGACTAACCATTGGTTGATTTTAAAACAATGATTCAAAAACAACCAATCAGATTCAGTCTATCAAAATCAGTCATAGACTGGTTTACATTCTAACAAATATCATTTTTATAACTGGAATGGTTGCAGCTATAAAATTAAAGAAACAAGTCTGTTTTAAAGCTCTGAGCTAGTTATTAAACACAATGTTACAATAATGAAATCTAAGCTCTGAGCTTAATTTTGTACAACTTGAGCTTGAAGCCGAGAAGTTCAGTGAGCACAGCAGAAAATGCTGATAGAACCACCACCTTCGTGACATTCAATATCAATGGATTTGCTGATATACCAGAGATCTTAAAAGGACTCTCCAATTCCTGAAAAGAAAATAAAACAACAAAAATCTTAAGACCAACATCGGGCAAAGGGAACTTTACAAAATTCATATAGCAGTTACCTGTGTATATTATGATAAATACGCTTCAAGATTTGTAATATCAAAAGTTTACAACTAAAGTTTATGTAAAGAGTGTTAGGTCTTACACATAATCAATTTTTCTTTTTTATTTATACAGTCGTAAGTGCAAAACATTAACTTATTTCAAGTAATATATAGGACAATCACACAAAAAATACATCATATATACAAATACTGTGAATTTTCTTTAAACTGTGGACATTAAATTTTTTGAGTAAGAAAGTAAAATGCAAAGAATGTAATAATAGCAGAAGAAATAAAATTTCGTCTGAATCTTTGTGGATTGACCTATTAAGGAAAACCACAAAAAATTACACCACATGAATAATTCATGCAATGATTTTGCAATACACTTAAACAAAATGGCTTTACATCTTTGAAACTTCTTCCTTACACAGTATCTTAAAACCCTGAACCTGTCTGAACTGAAAGTCATTAGTCTTTACCAATAATATCTGTGCTGTCTTGATCAGACTCAATGTTTGTATTTTGTTAATGAAATCCCTTTAAATTCAAATGAACTATTCCAAATTAAAGCAGGGTAAATTCATTTCACGAATTCAAGGCAGTTTATGAATTTTATTTATTCTGACATGCCAACAATTTACCTTTAAGAGACTTTCAGCCAACTTGAGGACATTATTGGCCACCATGAGTTCTTCTTTTTTATGTGGTTTCTGCTCCATCTGTAGATACAGGTTGATCTGTTCTGTGATCAACACCGATAAATTCCGGTACTTCTTGTTGATCCTCAACCCCAGGGTCATGAACCGTAACAGATAAACTCCAAGAGCCATACACCATAACAACAGCTCCCAGTTTACTAGATAGTTCAGGTAAGTTTCCGCATCTCTTAGCAACTGTAATTTCAAAAATGCTACTTTTTATACATAATACGTACATGTACTTTCTTTTGTTAATATTATCTTGAACAAGAGCTGTCTGTAAGACAGTGCACTTAACTATTCTCAGTGCTTAACAACGAGAAAAGGGCCAAACACTGTGAAAAGGGAACTCTGAGAGTTATGGGACCTATGCCCATCATGTTAGATAATCACATAGAACAAGTGTGTGAAGTTTCAACCCATTCCTTTCAGTAGTTTTAGAGATACCATCTTGCACACAAAAACTTAACCAAAGAAGGATGGTGACAAAGGCAGCCGGGTCATTACAATAGCTCCCTCTAATGGTCAAGCTGAAAGTTGAGAGTTGTGTAAACTATATATAAAATCACTGGAGTCATTTTACAATATATAATTATCTGTGTTCTCACTTTAAAGGTGACAAGCTCTTAAATAAAGATATCATGTCAATAGACACGCAAGAATGCGGCAAAAGTGGGTTTTTCCAATCTTATCTAAGGGTAAAACCAAAATTTTACAGATATAACTTGGTAAATATATTGATAATAGGCTTTATGCTTTGATCACACAATTTTGAATGGGAGTCTACCATGAAGATGCAATGGTAAAAATTAGTTTGCACCCTAGGATAAGATGGGAAAAATCCACAGTTGCCATGTTTGTGGCAACATCAGTCAGTCACTTACCTATTTCCTTTACAACTAATACATTAGGTTAAGCTCTTCAAAAGCTGTCATATCAATTTCAAAGCAGTACTTTGAGTGATTCATCTTAATATTAAACAGTTATAATAACTAACATACTTTGAAATAAGCATATGTTGTTGTTTTTTAAATTATTTCAATATTTTTTTTTTAAGGGGGGGGGGATGGGGGTTATTCAATAATTTAAAATAATTTTGTGCAAGGTCATACCTGTAAACACATTAAAATCAGCATACTTAATGTCATAAGGAAAGCTGATGATACGATCACATCTACAGATCTCTGTGGGCCTCGTTTCTGCAAAAAAATAAAAACTCAATTATAATATAGTCTTATATGATCTTCTTTACATGATTCTTAAGCTTGTTTAAATGATGACCTCTCATTTATTTTTATTTTTTATGAAAAATTAAAAATGTAAATATTCTACACATCTAGTCTATGAATGACTGATAATGACTATTTGATGTTTTCTTCCATTGGTTCAATTAGTCAAGGCACCTTTTGTACATTTCATTGACTAGATGGATTAAAAAAACAACTTGAATGTAATTCTATGTAATTCAGAATCAGAGTGAGATAATTGGCTTGAAAATGAATATTTGACCAACCCTGAAGGGCCAGACACCTCCGATGTATATTATCGTCTATAATTCAGTAATTGAAATTAATGTAACAATGTGAACAGTGTATAGATAAAACTATGTATATGAGCCGCGTCATGACAAAACCAACGTAATGGGTTTGCGACCAGCATGGATCCAGACCAGTCTGCGCATCCGCGCAGTCTGATCAGGATCCATGCTGTTCGCTTACAGACCCTATAACAAGTAAAGAACTGCTAGCGAACAGCATGGATCCTGATCAGACTGCGTGGATGCGCAGGCTGGTCTCGATCCATGCTGGTCGCAAACGCATTACGTTGGTTTTGTCATGACACGGCTCAATTATTTACCTTGAGGTAAGATCTGAGAGACAGCCATGTTCTAATGTTTCTGACTTTGTTCAGTCTCAGGTGAGGCAAGTCAAATTTTCTAGCTCTTCTTGATGATGTCAGGTAACAGAAATGCTTCGCATACAGTAACCTCTACAAATAACAAAATATCTATATATGGCATTTATACATTAAATATTCTACATAAAACTTGATTGGTGCTTTGCTTAATTAGAGATTACCAATAGTTAAAGTTAACACATGATTAAAAGTTGAAAAAGTAAAAAAAAAATCCAAAAATTCTGGACTTGCCTTTCATAGTCTTAAGTGTATTCTAAGTCCTAGGACATAAAACCAACTTTAGGACTAACTTAAAGACCATTTAAATAAATGTTTTTACCTTTAGTACAAGACTGTAGACAATAATTAAAATAATTCTCTTGAGAAAAGTTAAGAATTACAATGACAAGACCCTTTTATTCAAAATGTGTTACTGCTCACCTGTATTGTTATTCAAAATCATGACAAGACCGCTTTTATTCAAAATGTGTTACTCAACTTACTGCTCACCTGTATTGTTATTCAAAAACTAAGAGTTCAAACAAGAGGGCCATGATGGCCCTGAGGTCGCTCACCTGTATATAGGCCCCCCCCCATCCCCCACCCCCCCAACGTTGCAGGGCCAATTTTAACCCAAGGGCTTTTATTTGCACAAACTTGGTAGACACCCATAAGAAGATGTTTCATGCTAAACATCTAAGCTCTAGCTCATTGGGCTTTTTAAAAGAAGATTTTTTTAAAGTTTTTACTATACACATATAGTTAAAAACAATGACACCCCTGGGGCCGGGCCAGTTTTGACCCCAGGGCTTTTATTTGAACAAACATTGTAGACACTAACTAGTAAATGTTTCATGCTTAATATCTAAACTCTAGCTATTTGTGTTTTTTCAAAGAAGATTTTAAGTTTTTGCTATACACATATAAGGAAAATCAATGACCCTCGGGGCGGGGCCAATTTTGACCCCAGGTCTTTTATTTGAACAAACTTTGTAGACACTCACTAAAAGATGTTTCATGCTTAATATCTTAACTCTAGCTATTTGGGTTTTTTCAAAGAAGATTTTTTTAAGTTTTTGCTATACACATATAAGGAAAATCAATGACCCCCGGGGCGGTGCGAATTTTGACCCCAGGGCTTTTATTTGAACAAACTTGGTAAGACACCTATTAGAACATGTTTGATGCTAAATATCTTAGCCATAGCTCTTTGAGATCTTTAAAAGAAGATTTTTTAAGTTTTTACTATATGCATATTGGGAAAATCAATGACCCCCCGGGGCAGGGCCAATTTTGACCCCAGGGCTTTTATTTGAACAAACTTGGTAGACACTTATTAGAACATGTTTCATGCTAAATATCTTAGCTCTAACTCTTTGGGTTCTTTAAAAGAAGATTTTTTAAGTTTTTACTATATGCATATAGGGAAAATCAATGACCCCCTGGGGCGGGGCCAATTTTGACCCCAGGGCTTTTATTTGAACCAACTTGGTAGACACCTATTAGAACATGTTTGATGCTCAATATCTTAGCCATAGCTCTTTGAGTTCTTTAAAAGAAGATTTTTTAAGTTTTTACTATATGCATATAGGGAAAATCAATAACCCCCCGGGGCGGGGCCAATTTTGACCCCAGGGCTTTTATTTGAACAAACTTGGTAGACACTCATTATAACATGTTTCATGCTAAATATCTTAGCTCTAGCTCTTTGGGTTCTTTAAAAGAAGATTTTTTAAGTGTTTACTATATGCATATAGGGAAAATCAATGACCCCCTGGGGCGGGGCCAATTTTGACCCCAGGGCTTTTATTTGAACAAACTTGGTAGACACTCACTAGAAGATGTTTCATGCCAAATATCTAAGCTCTAGCTCTTATGGTTTTTTAAAAGAAGATATTTAAAGTTTTTTCTTTCGGTTGCCATGGCAACCAGAGTTCTGCATGGAATTAAATTCTTTGAACAATTTTTAAAGGTGACCACCAAAGAAACATTCCTGTGAAGTTTGGATGAAATTGGCTTAGTGGTTTATGAGGAGATGTCATTTAAAGTAAAAGTTTACGGATGGACGACGGACGGACGGACGCCGGACGAAAAGCAATCACAAAAGCTCACCCTGTCACTTTGTGACAGGTGAGCTAAAAAAGGAGTAAAAAGTTGACTTCACTGTAAAGATAGATGATAATTCATTTTAATCACTTAAAAGCAAATATCTGCTCAGGGATTTTGCTACACTGGAAGCAGTGCTGCTAAAACACACTAAAAATCTCAAAGAGTGCTATTGTTAATCGTACTATTCAGGATATGCCTCTAAACCAGAATAAAGGCTTGGTCTGAAAGCTTTCCCGTTTAACTGTGTATATCACTGAATTCATAATGTAACTAAAATACTAGATGAGCAAACCTGTTTAAAAGTCCTATCAGCAACAGAGAGCATGAAGAATAATATTGCACTGAGACAAAACCTCTGTAAGGCAGCATTGGTGTGAATCAACCGTGACCTGAAATATTGTAAAAAATACTGAGTTCCATAAGTCAGCTGGATAGCCTCCTCACATGAAAGAATACAAGTCCCTTGCGAGGATTTGAACCCACAGCGGTTGGTCAGGGGCAAGTGGTTTGAAGTCAACCATAATCACTAGGCCAAAGATGACCCATGTATTGATAAGACCTAAAATTAGTAAAACAATTTTTCTAAACATTAAGCCACATATAACATCTTGCTCTCACCTCCATGTGTTATGGCCGCTCCATTCCCAAATGACTGACAAAATATCCCACGTCAACAGTGCTGGCAAATCCTTTGAGTGAAATGCTTCAAACAGCAATGGTGTGGCAGCCATTAAGAGTGAAAATGTAAATCCAATGAAAATATAATCTGAGCTTTCTGGTATCTTGTCAACAGTTTCAATGATAGCCCAGCCGATGTCAAGGGCTGTAAGCTCTACTTTCTTACACTCATTCCTCTCCCAGATTATGCATGTCACTGAAATTAAGTACATTGAATGAGTGTAGATTTTTTAAAGTTGAATAAAATTTTATCATGCTACCCTTTATCTACTGTAGTTTGGGTAAATGGATTTGCCCTGCTTTGAATTAGAAACTGTCAATTAGAAGAAAATTAATATCAAAATACATACAGTACAGAACCTGGCAAAGCCTTATCACTTTAGTTTCCTTCAAGTTAAAGGGCTAAACATTAAATATGATATTTATATCATCACCTGAGTGCAGTAATGAGTTATTTAACTGGAATTAGCTCATTACTGCACTAGGGTAACATTACATATTACTTTTTTCATTGAATATGTTACATTCATCTATAAATAGCCTAGTTTTGTAAACTTTTACAGTTTATAATATCACTAGTATTCATCAACCAATAGAAAGCATACATTTTTTTTATTGGGTTTAACGTTGCACCAATACAATATAGGTCATATGGTGACTTTCCAGCTTTACTGGCTGAGGAAGACCTGAGAGTTGCTCCTCTGTACATTATTTTAGGCAAATGCGGATAACCTGAGTAGAACCACTGACGTTCCATAAGCTAGTTTAATAGCTTTCTCACATGAAAAACCCAAAGATGCCAGCGTGTATCCAACCTACAGAGGTTAGAGAACAGAAAGCATGATAAAGCCAGATTTACTTTTATAAAGAATAAGGTTACCTTTATCAGGTGGGTGAGCACTACTAGATGTTGATGACTGAAACGAAAACATAGAAGGTTTGTCTATCTTATTCATTCTTTATAAAATCTTTTGTTGTTTTTATCTCTCAAAAACTTATGCTTTATTAAAAACATTATATTACTAAAATGGAATGGCAAAAACTTAAAATGTACACAACATTAGTTATAGCAATAAAAAAAGCTTAACTAAATTCCTTAAAATTATTCAAATGAAAAAAAAATCACAACAATGTGATGAAAATTCACAAACACTCACTGTGTTGCAGTTTTTTTTAGGATGCTTACTCATTAGGCATGAAGATATTGTGTGAATGTACAATGTCTACTGTAAATAGTTGTGGTGACTTATAATAACTGAATATTTTCTTATTTCATCATTATTGTCATATACATTGTATGAGTTTCTGAAATTACTTATGTAATGACCAAAGAGGTTTGACTTAGAGTTAACATGTGATATACAGACTTCAATTATCACATGATATATAAATTAATTGCCATCACCCAGTGTTTCAGTACATGTCAATTTGAACTGAAGTTTTTTAACCTTTACCCTACTTTGTTTAGAAGTGTTTGTTGTTAGTTTACAGGACACAATATTTGTTTTTTTTCAACATGGAGCAGTAATCAGTGTACAGCCTGGTCAGTCTGTGCAAATGTACATATGTTTCAGTGTACACTCTAAAAATGCACATGTTTCAGTGTACATTGTACAAAATGTACATGTTTCAGTGTACAAATGTACATGTTTCAGTGTACAAATGTACATGTTTCAGTGTACAGTGTACAAAATGTACATGTTTCAGTGTACAGTGTATAAAATGTACATGTTTCAGTGTACAGTATACAAAATGTACATGTTTCAGTGTACAGTGTACAAAATGTACATGTTTCAGTGTACAGTATACAAAATGTACAGGAAGAAAACATCTAAATTGGATTTTCCCATTGCATTTTATTACGGTCAGAATAAGATAATTAAAATCAGATCTACTGATATATCATGGTTCTTCATAAAGTATCAAATTTTAATTGAGAAATGACTGATATTTAACAAACCTGGAATACCTTATAATAAGGAACTTATTATGGGTAATGATATAGTGTGCCATTCTGTTTAATTTTTTAATTGAAAATAATTATCTTTGTTTTTTTTTTACTTCAAAAGAGAGAGAGAGAAAGATAGAAAGAGAATAATTGTTAAAAAGACACAAATCTATACTATTATATCGATATAAATAAAGAAGAACATTGTGAAATCAAACAGAAATATGTGCTACTTTAAATATAAGTTATGTCACACTATCTTCAAGAAGAATTTGAGTTGTTTATAATGAATGTTACACAAAGTTATATTATGTTTGATTACATTGAAAAAAACAGGATATCTACAATTTATGCTATTATAAAGGTATTCTTGAAAAATTTAAGAGTGTAATAAACTACTATATTGAGGAGAGGGATAGAAGATTTATTATAAATTTGAGAACTGATTTCACCTCCCTTAAAGATTGTCTCCCAACTCATAAACTACTGGTACACATTACAACTATTTCCCCTTCCTTAAAGATCCCATAAAGAAAATGCTGGGACTCAATAAAACTACTGTTTATCACAATATTTTAGCATATGGCAAATTTACAATACATTATACTTTAAGCTTGATGATACATATATAAAATTTCATTCAATATAATGAGGATATGAAATATTGATTTTGATCACATAATGAAGGTGTTACTAATAATTAGTTACACCTTCATTCTGTGATCAAAATCAATATTTCAAGTAAATCAAACATTACCTTACAGGGCACAAAATCCTCATTTAACATAAATCCTAACATACAACACAGCTTTGTAAAAACTGACTTTACATTAGATATTTATAATGCACTCTTATCTTAATACAACAAAACCAACTTAACTTTGAGGATGCAAAAATGGTAAGTTGTTTCACATTTGAGGATACGAAAGTTCCTCTCATCACTGAAATCTTTTGATGCATTAAAATTCACTTTTTGGTACAATAAAACTAATCTTTTGGTACATTAAAACTTATATTTTAGTAAATTTAAACTTATCTTTTGGTACATTATAACTGCTTTAATACGAGTCATGCTGGCAACAGAGAATCAAATACACAAGTTCAGAACTGATTACAAAATACTTTCTGTACAGTATAAAACATTCTGTTTGGTAAAGGATACATTTGTTTTGCTTTTGACAACAGACAAAGACTTGTAACAATCAGATTTCAAACAAGATGCATACTGTGAACTGTTGTTACCTTTTTCCTCTAAAATATATCAATTATTATTAATAATCCACTATTATTAAAACGTCTATAAAAATTATAAAAATACAAATACCAAAGGTTAAACTTTCATTTTATGTAAATATTTCAAGAAAAATATGTTGAATTTGTTAATGTAGTCAGATTTAACAAATGCTCCAATGTCCCCCTCTACAGAGGGCATTGACCCTGGTGACCTTGACCTTTGAGTCAATGACTACTTAAAGGATTTGGTAGGTAGAGCTCATCAAGGTGTATGTTCCTGTGAAGTTAGGAGGCTCTAGATGGAAGAACTTCCATGTTAGGCCAGGGTCAAGGTTAAAGTTGTTACAGACAGACAGACAAACAAACAGACAGACCAAAAGCAACTAATCACCAGATTATTCTTCTGGTGGGCATAAAAATATATATGATATATGGTAAAAGTTTGTGTATTATCAGGGATGTCATACCTTTGTACTGGAATAACGCTGTATAACATATTGTGAAATGTTAGCATTATACACTGATAATATTTTCCAGAATAACAGGATTTAAACAACCAACACTCATGTTAGTGAAAACATGGTTTTTCTGCCTTGATTCACAGCACAAAAAAAAATGTGATTGAAAACAAAATCGTAACAATTCTGACCAAATTACTACTCAATAAATTATGTGCTTGAAAACAAAATCGTAACAATTCTGACCAAATTACTACTCAATTAATTATTTGCTTGAAAACAAAATCGTAACAATTCTGACTGAATTACTGCTCAATAAATTATGTGCTTGAAAAAAGAAATTCATAACAATTTTGATCAAATTACTACACAATAAATTATTTGCTTGAAAACAATTTTTTTCACAATTTTGACCAAATAACTACTCATCTTCATTTCAATGACAAATTCTCAAAATGAAATATTGCAGGTTTTCTTATACAGATTACAAGTAAAGACTGAAAATAGTTATTTTCTCATATTAAACAAAATAGTAAAGGAGGTCCTGACATATGTAATTGAAATCCATAACATGTATGATGACAAAGCAAATTTAATAGTGAAATAAGTTACATACAAACAATTATTAAGCAAATTAGTCCTAACATTTTTCTTTTAGACAAGCATTATATTTGATGATTATTTTTAAACTGTTTGGCAATCTTGAATAATAAAGGTTGAGCTAAAACAACAATATTGTTGGAAATAATGGTTGCTCCCCAAAATAGCACATTGGAATAAGGAGAACATGGGTAAGTTGTAGATGGAAGGAGAAGTCAAAAGATCATGATTGATCAATTTTAAAGATCATGGCTGATGAATTTTAAAGATCATGGCTGATGAATTTTAAAGATTATGAATAATCACTTCTAAAGATCATATGATTGATCAATTTTAAAAGAACATGATTGATCATTTTTTAAATATCATGAATGATCAATTTCAAAGATCATGATTGATTCATTTTAAAGATCATGACTGTTCAATTCAAAATGGAGTGAAATATGAAAAAAGACAAAAATTATCTTAATATTCAATTATTTGTTAAGTAAAATGAATATTTGTATGCAATTAAATTATTTAATATTCGTGTCTGACATATGGATGGACAGACGGACAGAGCAGCAGCTATTTGCATAAAAAAAATTCAAATCACTTCAACCAACTCGACAACACTTTTTAAACATTAATATAAAAAATTTACAACAGAACTTTTAAGAAAATCTCTGGAGAAAATAACTGTTACTGTTAAAACAAATGTTGTCACACAAACTCTAACACTCACTGTCATTAAATACATTAATTTTTAATTAAGATGAAATTAGTAAAAGGATAAAATAGTAAGATCATTATATAAAGACATGAAAACACTACAAGGTGTTATATACCCACCTGTCTTCTGTTCTGTAAACAGTAATTAGTTTAAAATCAATCACTGGTGATTATATAGTAATAGTTATGGGGTTATTACACCATGGTTATAACATGTTCTGAAATTTTGTTATGGTATCACATTTTCTAGAATTTTATCCTGTTATAACATGTTGTAGAAACTTATTCTGTTATTCTGTTATAACATATTCTAGAAACTTTTTCTGTTATAAAATGTTGTAGAAGTTTAGTCTGTTTATAACATGTTCAAGAAGCTAATTCTGCCATAACATGTTCTTTAACTTTTATCATGTGTTATAAACATCATTCTAGAAGTTTATTCTGTTATAACATGTTCTATAATTTTATTCTGTTATGACATATCGTAGTACTTTATTCTGCTTAAAGTGACATTATGCTCATATTTTCATAGTCAAGTGAAGCTGAATTGACTTTATATTTGAAAAGATTGACTGTCAAAATGGTGTTTAACCAATAGTTGATATTGGAAAATGTTCAGGATAAAATTATAAAACTGCCTAAAATATAAAAAGACTGCCCCACTCTTTTTAAAAACTAAGCGCTATAGGTAAATCCTTATGCATATTTACAGAAATTTTATTGGGTTATGTGAGTTATTTATTGTTTATGCGAACTTAATTATAAAATTAAAGGGAAAAATGACAAAATGAAAACTTATTTTGATCTTCACCCGTTCACTCACTATATACCCTTGGATGGGCATAATGTCACTTTAAATTATACGTTTCTTTGTTTATTCTTTTATAAAATAATATGATCTAGAAGCTTTTTTATACTAGAACATGTTCTACAACTAATCAGGCTATAATAACATGTTCTAGTATTCTATATGCAATAACATTTCAAAAACTTTATTCTGTTATAACATGATCGTAATTAGAGGTGTTTTTTCTGTTATAACAATGTTGCATTCAACCCTCAATATATCTATCATTAAACAAAAATATAAATCATGCATAAAAGAAACAAAATCAGACTTTGCCATAGGACCATTACAAGACGTGTGTAAAGTTTGTACATCAGTCAAAACTGAAACCAGACTGCTACAAAAACTGACAGATCATGTTTCAACATTGAAGGTATTCATTTTAAACAAATGGGTCCTGTGGCACCAGGATTGCTCGTCTGAGAAAGCTGAGACATTAACAACATCTAAATTTATAGTTTTAGCTCTGATAGCCATCTTAATCAGAGGAACAGAACTTTGTGATATCTCTTCCATCACAATAAGTAAATCCCTGCAAAAATGAGCCAATCAATGGGCATGCTCTGGAGTGCGGGTAACTAATACCTGCACTCCAGTTAACGCACTGTGCATGTATGTGTATACGATTTAACTCTGGCACATTTTAAACAGAAAAGTCCCCAAACTATGATACAAGATATTTTAAGGATTTTCTGCTTCTGACACTCAGGCAGATACTTTTTTTTTTGGACAATTTCTACTTTAATAATAGAATTTTTCAATATCTAAAGTAAGAACTAAAATAGAGAAAAAACTATCAAAAGCATTTTTTTCTTTCCTTGTGTATTTTTTTTATAACTGAGATATTGTCTTTAATCTTCTATTTTTCTTAATCATAATCCACAATTGTACCTTTTCAAGGAAAAGTTTTTACAAACATGCATGTATATGTTACCTATTATCTATGTAAATGCTATACTTATTATGTATGTATTCATTTCTTGGAAATAAATGCACCTTATACCTGGTAAAAAAACAAAACAAGAACCACCGCTGCGTCAATCATTACACCTTGACTTTTTCATTGAAACAGACGAGCTAAAAAAATGATAACTTGGTAGAAACATTAATTTTACACCTTGATAAAATATCAGAGATTTGGCATATATATATTTATGAAAACCCTGACAATGGAATTCGTCTAAATACATGCATTTAACAGTACCCTTTTTAAATTATATATTTCGCACATTGCAATATATATTACATGTACATACCGTAAGAATGTTCATTTGCGTGTAGATTACTCGTTGTTATACCAATATTTTGTCCACTTTGGGCCGACTGTGCCTCATTATCGGAGTCCTTGTCCGGTTCCTCGTGATTGCCAATCTCCGGATCTGTCCCGCAACTGCTCGATTCTGTTGTACTGTTAACATCAGATTGTAAATGGTCACCCCACTCCTCTGAACTTGCCATATTCTGTATAACATAATGATTAACATGAATAAAATTTATAATTTATAATAGGTCTTTATTCCTTTATCAACAAGAGCTGTCCGTAAGACAGCGCGCTCAGACTTTTTTTAGTGCTTGCCTATAATACAAAACATTGACAGTTAAGGGCCCCATAATTCAAATAAAATCTTTGACAGAATTACCTTCTCCTGGACATGTTTGGGAATCATGATTGTAAACAAGTATTCCAACTTTCAAATTAATATCTCAAACAGTTCAGTCAAAAAGTGGACTGGTACTAAAAACTTAACAAGATTCTAAGTCGATAAAAGGCCTTAATTTTTTAAAACAAATCCTTGACCAGAGCTACCTTCTCTTGCGTACAGATGGGGGTAATGATGTGAAATAGCATTAAAAGTTTCAAAGCAATATCTCAAAGGGTTAAGGCAATAAGTGGATTTTACCCATATTCAATGTATTTTCTAAGTCAAAAAGGGGCATAATTCTGTCAAAAACCTTGACAGAGTTATGTCCTCTTGTCTGTTGATGAAGGTCGTGATGGTAAACAAGTATGGTCAGTTTCAAAGCAATACCTCCAATGGTTTTGAAATAAAGTGAGGTGGTACAAAAAACTTAACCAAGCTCAATACACTTTCTAAGTCAAAAAAGGGCCATAATTCTGTCAAAAACCTTGACAGAGTTATGTACTCTTGTCTGTAGATGGAGGTTATGATGGTGAACAAGTATGGTAAGTTTCAAAGCCATACTTGTAATACTTCTGAAATAAAGTGGGGTGGTACGAAAAACTTAACCAAGGTGTGACGCCAATGCCGACACCGGGGCGAGTAGGATAGCTCCCCTTTTCATAGAAAAGTCGAGCTAAAAATTCTTTTCTTTCTTTTATTTTAAAATTTGATTGCGTTTACTTCCATATGCAATATTTATAAAACGTTTGCGGTGAACCAATCACATCTGCGATTTTTTCGTGATGTTTTACTTTCCTTTTCAGTTTCCAATTCCCTGCCTATGTGCAACAAAATAATTTTATCATAACTTTCTAGAATGACAGGCTTTATTAAGTGGAAGTCAAGTTTAAAATAAAACACCTTTCATCTATTTATGATCTCAACACAAAATCCATTTATTGCAGACTAATTTAAATATCAATGAGGCGGCAAACACATGTGCCTAAATACACATGGTTTGACTGTATATATAAAATCAAATAAATATCAAAACTATTCAATACCCTTACCCTTCTACTGCCCCTACTTCCTCTACTGTATTCTGTCCCTTCAGTCTCGCCCTCTGAAGAACTGACTCTTGCTGTACTATGCTTCTTATTATCCCTTATATTCAAACTCATATGTCTACGATTACGTAAACCAGTTCCACCAACTTCACTAGTGTCCGACATATTCATCTTTCTCCGTCTCACACTTGGCAAGATTTTATTTGAGGCAAGGTTATTGTCAGATTCAGACTCAGTGTCAGTGTTACATATACCACTCCCTCTTACAGACCTCTTTGTTTGTAACAAGACATCTGATTGGGTATGAGTTGGTGTTCCCTCCCTTGAACTCTTTGGAGTGATCTCCCTTAGTTGTACTAAGTCTTTTGTAAAGTGGACAGAACTCACCGAGTGTGTGGTAAGGTTAGAATCTTGAGCAGATATTGACTGAATGTCATTTTGACATTCCAGCTTTAGGTTAGAGGGACAAGTGCTTTTTAAAGCTCTCTTTTGACTAGAAACATCTTTGGTTTCATTATTTTTATCACAAGCACCTTTTGTGTTCTCGGTCTCCATTTCCGTAGAGATATTTACGAAAGAACTTTCACTGTCTCCAGTTAGAGTTTTATCATTCATTATTTTATCATTCAAGTCATGTATAGCTGTATCCTGAATTGAGGCTTCATTACAGGACTCAATATGGGAAAGTCCCTCAAACTTTATTTTATCACTTATGGAGATTTTTTCATGTAATTCATTGGCACAATTTGGTTCAGTTTCTGTCAGTTTATCGTTCATAGAAATGGTACAAATGTTCACACGTACCACATCCTCCTCTTCAGACGAAATAGACTGACTATGTCTTTTTGATTTTTCACAACCACTCTCATCTATTGCTAGCTTATCTTCATCTGAATTTGAATCTTTTGGAAAGTCACTCTCTTGACTTTCGTTCTTTTTAAGAAATGCTTTAACTTTAGCATCAGCACTTGTCGATACTACAATACGTGGAGAAATATCCAGTTTATTATCTAATAATGAATCTCTTACATCACAACCATTTGAGTCATGCTCTAATGATGATTTGTCAGCGATAGAGTCGCTAGCTTCATGTGTATGGTACGCTGACTCCGAGTCCTGGGAACCTTTCTCAAGGTTCTGTTCTCGTCGCAAACTCGGCCTCTGATTGTTTGGCTTCAGCCTAACTCTCCTTTCTTTTGTCCTTTCTCTCAATGGTCTTGAACCTATATGACCTTTCATACTTGACTTTGATTGACTTGGTGTCGGGTCATTTTGAGTTGTTGGCGAGGACCCAGTAATGTCATTGTTAGAAACACTTCCTCTATTCTGTGATAAGGACCTTTTTCTTCTCCATCCATCCCTGAAACAAACAAATCAAGATATGTTTCTACTCTACAGACCTTATGAGATATATGTCATAAAAGTTCTTGATTGCTTCTTAAAGCCGCATGCCTCTAGAAATGTTGGAAAATATCAAATAATCAGGTATTTCATAAATAAAGAAAACATAACCTTTTAGTTTAATTGACTTATATTTTTGGCAAGATATAAGAAAAAAATATTACAAGAGCTCTCTGTATGACAGCGCACTCAACAATTCACATTGCTAGACTGTTTGAAAAAGGGGCTAACTGTAAAAAGCTAAATCAGTTATGGCACCCACGCCAATAATGTAAAATAGTCACATAGGGCAAGTGTGTGCAGTTTCAACCCATATTCTTCAATAATTTTGGAGATATTAACTTCTACACAAAAACTCAACAAAAATGTAACAGTGCGGCCAACACTGTGGAGAGTACAGCAGCTCTCCTCATCTTCAAATATTTAAGCTAAAAACACAATTAAAATACTTCATTGTACATACTGTAGTGTACTAGTGTTGAATGTCAGCAATAAACTGATCTTATTCTAATATCCGTGACAGAAGAGACACGTTGTTTTAATAACGGACAATAATTGCCAGGAAATTAAGATTGGAAGTTCCAGTTAAAAGATATAAGAATTCAGGAAACAAAGTGATCCCTCAGAAGCATTAATCACAACAAAATAACATAAGAATTGCAGACTCGGTTTGATTGAGTCTGTACAAGATGCTCTATTACAGGAAGTGATATTAACAGTCTTATCTGATGATGTTACAACATTCTAAAAAGAATATTAACAGTTAACTTCTCTAATTTTGACAACATGGTTAGAAAAATTTAACATATCACTTTTGGAAAATTAAGTGAAGAACTTGCTATATAAAGTGCTCAGTAAACACATATATAATAATAATAATAATAATAATAATAATAATAATAATAATAATAATAATACATAAAGTATTAAAGGGACTCAACTGCGGATTTTTTGACATGATAGGACTGGAAATATTTTTATGATATTCATGTACCATTTGATATTGGTCTGAACTTACATGTAAAATTTCAGATCATTTTTCCAAAATAATTATTTTACTTGTGAAACAAAATACCCAATAATTGAACATTGTTACCAGGAAAACAATTGCATAAATATACAATTTTCAATATAGTTCTGAGTTTGTCTTTTTTTTTTTTTCTTTTTTTTTTAATCATTTCATTTTAAACAGCCCATTTGATCTTTGTAAGAAATTCAATTTTCTGTTTTTTTGTTTTTCTCTCTCCAGCTTTTTGACCTCAGTCGAGTTCCTTTAAAATGTCAAAAATTTATTCAAAGAGACAAGTCTACAAATCTCTACCAACTTGCAACTTTCCTACATGAAGTTAACAAAATCACTCAGCAAAAAATTGAATACTTCAGGACAATAATGAATTTTAAGAAGAAAAAAAAATTCAATTACATTACGTAATTATACTAGTATAAAAGTACAATTTAATAAAGAACGAAACATGGAAACATTATATTTTTCATTTGCAGCCCTAGCATTCAACATTCTTTCAGATATTCCGATAGCTTTCATATATGGTCCACTTAATAATGTCCTTTGCAACACTCAACCTTGCAACTCAACCAGTGTGGTCATAAAATAGGATTTCATACTTAAAAATATCATGCAAAGCTAAAGCTAGATTCTTTATAACTAAAATTGCCACAATTTTTTTTTTCCTGGGAAATTCTCTAATATCATAACAAACTCATAGAATGTTCACATCAATATAACAAAATAGGGAGTTAAAGGAGTTCAATGCATGATTCTTTTTACTGTCAACTAAACTATAAAACCAAAGGTATGTTTTCAGTCAAGAAAACATTGTATGACCTAGTTTTATAAATATTCATTCAACTAGCCTCAAGGAAAGAAAAAACTATTCAGGTCTTTCTGTTAACCCATTACTTCATATACACGCCTTTTAACGCCTTTTTCACCCCCCCCCCCCTTTTTGTTGTCTCAAATGATGAAAAATTGCCTTATTTAGGCCCCAAACACTTGTTTCTGTTTGAGAAATGTTGTTAAAAAAAGTGACCTCTTTTTGGGCGCGGCCCCCCAACCAAAAGATACATCAGGGGGTTGCCAGAAGGGGGATGTGCCCCCTTCTGTTTGGGGGGGTTTGAAGGGGGGCGGAGTCCCCCTCATCGCCAAGAAAATTTTGGACTTGTGAGAGGCTGTAAATGACCCCAGATTGATCATAAGGTAACGTGTAACCAACGCTGAAAAGCATTTGACTCTATCTCAATCCATTGAGAAGTTGCAGCACTTTGAAATCAATTTTGATGGAAAAAATCAACGCAAAATAGTGATTTTTGGCAATTTTGAGATGTCCCCTCGTTGCCATGGTAACAGAAAATTTAAGCCTGAGCATGCTGTTGCAAGGGCAATGGTCCATTCAACATTTGTGCCAAGTTTGATTAGTGTTGAAGCAGTTTTTATAGTATTATAGCAATTTGAACTTGTAACGGGAGACTTTTCAATGAAAACAGCCATTTTTCACAAAATGCTCATGAAGTAATGGGTTAAATCACCCACCTGTTGAAACCAAAAGTTATCAACCTTTACCATCAATATAAAGCTACAGGCCAGCCTGCAAATCCGTGCAATCTGACAAAGCTCTATGATGTTGGGTAACTAACATGAAATTTTCATTTTGATATCCCTAAAATTGATAATGGGCAGGACCCAAAGTAGAAAGTAGTCAAGTCCATTTCTGAAATTCAGCAGGTAAAGAGTTTAAATTTGTTCAACAGAAATTTACAATAAGTGAAGCCGTCAAGTTCAACATTACTCCTATGAATAAATTTCTTAAAAGAACATCCAAAGTGTACTATTTACCAGAAGATTCCTTTTTCTTTTTTGGTTGGTTTTCAATATAATAATGCACCAACACAGAATAGATCATATGGCAACTTTCTAGCTTTCCTGGTAGAGGAAGACCACAGTTGCCCCTCCATACATTATTTCAGGCACAAAACTGGCACCTAAGTAAAACCACTAATGTTTCCTAAGTTAGCTGGATAACTTCCTCACATCAAAGAATCAAAAGTCCCTGGCAGGATTCAAACTCACAGCGGTTAGGGGTTAGTGTTTTGAAGTCAACAACCTTTACCACTCAGCCAAAGATGCCCTAAGCAGATTTACTGGTGGAGGAAAGTTTCTATAACTGATTTAGATACATCAGTATTGTAATATCTTTAGTATGACAAAGTGTCATTCTAAATATTGAACCAAATAGCTTTTTTTCTAAACACAAATGGATATTTTTGATAAACAAAGACACATAAGACGGACAACACACTCGAACAGTCTCGGCACTTCATAGCAAAAATCAGGTAAATGTCAAGTAAGAATCTGAGCCAGTGACCTACAATAACGACAGATATGTGTAGATTTGAAGATTCAACTACTAATATCAGTTGTTCAAAAGATAGGATTTGCATGTAAAACAACAACAACAAGATATTTCTTAAAATAAAATACAGGAAATAATCCAGTAGAAATCATGTCTAGAATTAAGGAACTAAATCTGTAGTCACTCTGACCAAAAAAATAATCCTGAAGTTTCAAGAGAATCTTCTTTGGTCGTAAGTAAAGGTCACAGGCAACAGTTTAAACCAGGAATTTTTTAAGTTCACATAAAGGTTAAAGGAATATGAAGCAGCGGACAACAAGTGTTATACGGATGTGAGGTCAAGCCAGATGGTCCCATTATACTTTTAAAATCAAGCTTAAATATCAAATAAAGTAACTTTTTTGAAGAAAAAAAAATAATATAAATGTGAAATTAACAATACAAAAATAGGTGAGAACACAAGTGTTGCAAATGAATAATTAAGGATAATTCCCTGAGGCTAGGAGGTCAAAACTGGATATCAACAACTGTGGTAGGGTATTCTTTAACACATCTTACTTACGAATCACTAGAAGTTTCATTACTACATAACAGAGCGACAAACAATACAGTGTAACGAAAAAAATCAACAACGATAATGAAACTAAAACATAGAAAATATAGTTACATACATTACAATATAGGTAAAAAAAGAGCATTTATATGGATTTTGTCACTTAATTAGTGTATAAAATATACAGCTGTAACTGACTCAGTGCATAGCAGATGATAATTATTGTTGATATACACCAATACATCAATAATTACTTGAAAATTACTTGAAATAACTTGTCACCACTGCTAGAAAATATGTCCATTATAAAAATACAGCATAGATTTAGACATAAATGTCTGCTTCTGTATCTGTTTAGCGTGAATTTTCATAATTTCTAGACATTTAATTCATAAGTCAAAATTATTGATTCTTTAAAATGTGTAGTGACTATAGATCTACAGAAAAATATCCACAATATATCAATATTGTTTCTATTGATGACAGCTCTAATCAAATATACCTAGTTACTTCTAAAACAGAAACAATTTAGATCTAATCAATTATTTTTAGTATTCCTGTATTCCCAAGACCTTAAGTTTTATATATTAAGCATATTATTTCTAAACAGTTTGCCTGTTACATGTACAAATATTATATGAACCTTTTATTATCTCTGGTGGGGGGTTTCAGGTGGGTCAATATGGTCTGTGAATGGATCAGTCCAAGTAAAACCATGAGTATGACTGGTACAACAACTTCACTCAGTGACTGCTCCTGAAACATAGCATTAATTATCACATTAATTATTCCATTTATCAAATCAAAATTTAGATTAGAGAAGCTATATTTTGGGTTCGAGTTAACAGTAAATATTTACTGGCCCCCAAAATGCAATTATTTTAATTTCTCAAAATATCTTAAGTTACTTTTTGTATCCTATTAAGACAGTACTATTAATCATCATTTGCTCCTGCTTTTTTTGCAATTGATAGATCCCTACTCTGGCCTTTAATTTAAATAACAATAGTTTTGACCATAAACATTTTGTTAACAAATATGTTGGGGTAAAATTCTTTTTATATGCCCTTATCTGCTAATTAGAATTAGACAGGTCAGGGATCTATGCATTAGTACAGTTGAGATCATTTTGTATTTCTTAGTCAAAAAACCATTTTGTTTACATTTTGCTACCTTTATTACAAATTACTTAACATTCAGCACTACTTACTTTCTGAAGTTTCGGTGTTAAGCATAGTTTTAAAGCACATTATTCAAGCATAAGTATTATGGTTTGAAAGCAATATCTCAATTCATAAAAGAAAAACTTTTAAAAATGAATTGGTTTACAATGGGCACATTTTCTGAAAGTACCGGTGTCTCAAATATTGATAAAAACAACAGAAATGTATTATTTGTTATTTTCTTTTAAAATTATTGCAATATTGAAAGAAGAAAATGTCGATAAAGTTCTTGGGGATTTAGTATCAAGATTTTTATAATGAATAATAATATTTTGTCATAGAACAATTTATTATCAGTTATATAAATATATGTAATATCAGATCATGTATCTCACACATGCCAACACCATCCATATATGAGCCGCATCATGACAAAACCAACATAATAGGTTTGCGATCAGCATGGATCCAGACCAGCCTGCGCATCCGCGCAGTCTGATCAGGATCCATGCTGTTCGCTTGAAAACCCTATAACAAGTAGAGAAACTGATAGCGAACAGCATGGATCCTGATCAGACTGCGCGGATGCGCAGGCTGGTCTGGATCCATGCTGATCGCAAACCTATTATGTTGGTTTTGTCATGACGCGGCTCATATAATTCTTTCATTATTTGTTGTTATGTGTGATACTACATACTATCAACTTAATAATTACGTATTGTATCAGTCATCGAATTTAGCACTGGCCTGGTGGCCCATGGCCAGTGAAAATTAGTTCGGGCAAGTGAAAATTTTAAGAAAATTTAGTTAAATATATAGAAGAATTAATTCAAAACTGGAATTCGGGCTAGTAAAATTCAAAATCTTAAATTCATTGACTGTTGTATTACAGACCTTCAATTATAGACCAATTCAATTTATCAAAAATTGTGACATTTAAGCCGCTACCAACGCCTAAGTTAGAGAGGTAGCTCTCCCCTTTATATAAATACAATAGTCAAGCTAATAATATACCATATACCAGGTTATTTTCGTGTTTGGCAATTTTTGCAATTTTGGCAGTTCTCTAATTTTACCAATTTTGTTATTTTTTAGCTGCCTTAGTATGCTTGTATACCTACATGCAAGGTGTGAATTATTTTACAATCAGTTCAACAATCAAATATAAAGTTTGCTGACTGTGTCACTATAGATTGTTGATGTATTTTTAAATAATTAATGCTGAATAAACTGGAATATCGATTATTGGTATTTGACACATTGATAAATAGGTATCACAAGGTATAATTATATACTATAACTAAACTTGGTAGAAAATTTAAAATAGGAAGTCAAGTTACAGAAACAAGAGAATTCCAAGTATTAAATTGAAGTAAAATTTAGCAAATCTATTTTTTGTGATATTCAAAGTACATGAATATAGCAAAAATTAGAAATTCACAAAAAACAACCCAACAACCTGATATACAGTATGTTACTACGTACCCTCTACCAGGTAATATGGTTAAACTTACTGAAACACTTACATCCTGTGTCAATTCTTCCCCAACATTGTTGAAGAACACACAAGTTGTTATAATCTGCATTGTATATAATACCATAAGCCCCGCCCAGAATGGCAACGATGTTTGCTGTATCCACCTAGAAAAGAATATAATTGTTATACATGTATTTTGACTAAAAAAATACTTGATAGAAAATAGGTATTATCCGGGACTCTGCAAATGTTCGTTTTTCCCATCTGATCTCTAGGAAAAAAAATTTCTTTACTGTTATAGCTTCACAGTGGACTACCGTTCATATTAGAGTGATCAATGCAAATTAGCACTTATTATCCATATATTTACCAAGTTTGTTTGTGCCCCCAGATAATACCCATTTCAGGAGTATCACTATGTTGAGATCATGATTTAAACAAGTTATGAAGAAACAAGTTATGAAGTTTATGCTGATTCCTAACATTAACTCCGAAGATGGAATCCAATAACTTAATATTACACCAAACTTCTTTACTGACAAGCTCTTGTGTATTTTAACCATACTAAATATCTTAAATGGACTTATTCATCTTTTAATTTGGACAAAACCAGGAAATTTAAAAAGTAGGTACTGACTGAATTAAGCACACAGTGCACACTTTGATTAGATGGCACAAATGTGTTCACTTATCATGGTCTGCAGTCTGGACTGGTCACATTTGTAGAATAAGTTTCCACCAGTAGGCTAAATAATTAGGAATAACATGCATAAAACTGATGTGGCGACATCTAGCACACAGTGTCATAGACTGACAGTGAATGAGTCTGTCTTTCTAGGTTTAAAGATAGAGGTAAAGACCCTTTATATAGATCTTGCAGTTTTCACAACATATACTAGTATTCATTGCACAAACTTCAAGCTAACTATCAGCCTCAACTTTATGTTGTTTTTTATTTTAAAAGACAGTTGTGAGAGGCAAGTAATTATCTATTATGGCTGGCCCAAACAACATCACTAATGTCACAAATCTGAAATCAAGGAGACACAGCTACCATAACATGTATACATAAAATTTAGGGCTGTCATTGGCGGCAAACTTTGTATCCATTTATTGAGAACCCAATCAATTTAAACAGCTTTTACAGTGGTGACCATTTAAATATGTAAATATAAACTATCATCATCATGCTTTAAATGTTTGTTGTAGTCATCACATATTCAACACCATATTGCATTACTTATAGAAAAGCACATTTTCTTTTAAATAGGTTTCAATGACCTCTAAAACTTAAATTCAGGTTTTTTTTTCAAGCTAGCCAAGAAACAGAGAAGTAACTTCTCTGTTCAGTCATACATGGGTTTTATTTGTATTGATATTCCAAATAATGAATCAATATTGAATCAACTTTTAAATATCTTCTATATATGTACAATGATCCTGGTTGCCATATTCAATGCCCAGTTTTTTTCCAGTCTTTTGTGGATGAATCTAGGGCCCGTTCAATTGTAAAAATTTTCCCCTCATGACAAAATGGTGAGAAAAGTTTACATCATAATGTAGAAAATGCCTTGATACATGAGAATATAGTCCTATTTTAAAGTATTAAAATTCAACTATAAAATAGTGAGAAAAGTTTACATCATATGTAGAAAATGCCTTGATACATGATAAACGCCTTATCAAACAAAGTCTCATATCTAAATGTTTCTGTTTCTAACATTATTAAGTCATTCATTGACAATTTTGGTCAATAACTGCAATTTGACAATTGTGTATTTTAATTAAAAATGGTAGAAAAAAACATACTTTTTACTTCAAAACTGTATGGAAAAAAACCTTTTTACTTCAAAACTGTATGGAAAGCCCACTGATAATAATAATTCTTATTTTACGTACCATTGATAGTGAAATGGGAATAGCACAACACGACTGAATGTTTTGATTGTTATATATGTCCATGGCACTTGTGGTTTAGCCTTGGTAAATGTTGACCCTCTAACCAGATCTACATCTATAAGTTCTGTCTTTGGTCTAACAACTCTTCTAGGAGCTTGTTGAATTCCCTGTACAAATATATATAAAAACATGTAACAACATAATATGGAGAACAAGATCACCATATCATGTGTTATTTTAAAATATTCAAGTTAAAAAGGGGCATAACTTTTCAAGTTTTTTTTTTATGAATTTTGGTGAAATTTCTATAATCAACATAATTTCATAATCACAATAATAACTTTATCATTTTACAAAATGAGAGCAAATTAATAGAATATTTAGCATTTGTAAAGGCTATATTCTTAATTTTTAAACATTAATAAATATATACCAAAGTTCCATGCTTCATGATCACCCACAGTTCATCATTATTTTACTGTTGTTTTGCTTAGGTGTAAGTCACTCTGACACCGTGAAGGTGACTTTGCGACTTCCCAACTTTACAGGCAAGAGGCAGACCACAGGTGCACCTTCACGCAATTATTCAGGCAGAAGTATAACCATCAACCTTCTGTAAGCTAGCTGGATAGTCCCCTAATATGAAAGTATCTAAAATCCCTTAGGGATTTTAACCCACAGCTGTGAGGTGGCAAGGATAGTCAATCTTTAACCAACTGGCTATGGAGGCCCCTCATTGATAATAAATGACCATATAAAAAATTAATAAGATAAATTTCTAAGATAAATCTCATCTAAATGATAAAATTTTATGTAATTTTAACAGAGAAATTCAACATTCCTGCGGTGGCAAACTAATAATTAGGGATAATAAATCAATTTGTGTGGGGGAAAGTAATGTTGACACTCTTGCAATGTTAAGCACTATGTAAGCTATTCATACAATTATCTAGTTGTCAGTTTCTATATCAAAGTTAACTGCAAAATACTGGTTGAACTTTTCTAATAATTGTTTATTATATGTCATATAAAAACCTTTACAGAAATAGAACACAAGTCATTCCACACTGTAGAATCATATTTCAAATATTGAATACATTGTATGTCAGCAAACATTTCACACTCCTAATTGTTTACAAAACTTCTTGGTTTAAAACAATTTTCATAACCTTGCTTTGTGTTATTAACAAAGGCTTTTATTCAATTTAATATCAATTTTCCATTGTGAATATAATAATAAGAGATTTAAAAATCAAATTATTTGAATATATACTATGCTGATCTTTGGGTAAAATGCTTTAATGCAGGAGTTATTTAAAAATCTAGGAAACTCTTTCTGTATTTGTCAAATTTGAATAAGAAAATGCACAAACAATGTTTTGAAAGCTGCATACTCTCTTTTAACTGGTCATGTTTTTTTGGTCCTTTCTAAAAGAAACTGTCAGTTTTTTAATCTGCACTAGGTTCACCAAATGTACGTAGATTTTAAATGTGACATATCTTCTCTGTCTATATTTACATTGTATTTACTATACATTCAAAAAGAAATGACTGGAAACAATATTTTGAGATTTATGGTCCATTTGATGTAGGTCGAGACTAACTTATGTGCAAAATATCAGAATATTTACTCACTTCATTTTTTCCAGAATAATTATGATTATAATTATATAATTGTGATAAATTACCAAAAATTAATAGGCATTGCAAAACTTTTCACTCAAATCGGGCTTAGGAATAGAATAAGAATATAATTTTCAATTTCTTTCTATGTATATTTCTTAATCACCTTGACATCTCTTTCTATTTAAAGCGCCTCGGCTGATCTATGTAAGAAATTGAAAATTTATGTTTTTTTTGGCTTTTGAACTTCATGGGAGTTGCTTTATGTAGGTTTTTACTGTTTGGCAATGATTTCATACAATCGCCATTCACTCAGAGAGAAATATTCCAACATATTTCTTTAAAACACGCATTTTGAAACTATTTTTTCTTTTTTTAATCACAGGAGCTTGAAATTCTATCAATAATCGCTCAAAAGTCCGATCTAAAAAAAAAATCCATACCTATATATAGGTATGGATTTTTTTTTTAGATCGGACTTTTGAGCGATTATTGATAGAATTTCAAGCTCCTGTGTTTTAATTCAAACAAAAACTTTTAAACTATAAGCAGCAGAGATATAGCTTTATATAGTGTACAGCTGTATCTATTCACAACATACATGTACACGTAGCTAAAAGAGCAGCTCAATTTCTCCATTTTTTAAAATCTCCTTTTAAAAATAAAAAAAATTGACATTTGTAACAACTTGTGATGGATATCTATTTAGAAACAACATTTAATCTGGCATTTGTGTCTGTGTTTTTCATTTGACATTTAAAACAGGTGTTTAATAAAAAAAACATTTGGCATTTATTATATTATTGTATCTTTGGCATTCCAGAGACTTTTTACATCAACACAAAAATTTACCACCTAAATCAAACCTCACAAATAATATTTGGCTGGTGGCTCATCAAATTATTTATATCATATTTAAACATTGTAACCAAACTTAAAAAAGTTTGAAAGGTGTTAATGGGTGATCAAGTGGTTAAGGTCATTGACTTCAAACCACTTGTGCTTAAGATTAAATAAAAATCTCTAACGATTCTATCATCTTCATGATAAACAGAAATACTTCTTGACATTGGTGCTATAATAATATTACCCTTCAAAAATATAAAAGAATTTACCTACATCAGCTTTTTATATAGCTCTTTTTCATATTTTGTCAATTATATCATATAGAATGACCCACCCCCACAACTGACTACCACCTTTGGCAAGGGAGGTCAAATTAAATTTTGTCAAAAAGATGTCGGTGTGACAGCACTCTCCATTTTTAGTACTTGATAGTAAAACAAGAGTCTGGATAAAGTAGAATTTTGTAACTTCAAAAAGGGTCATAATTCTTTCAAAATTCATGCTACAGTTAAGGACTTTGGATAGTGACCTCCTTTTATATTGTTCAGCTGATACAAACTTGCAGGCAAAATCTTAACCAAAGTGTGTCAGTGTGATGCCATTGCCAGAGTGTGTGTAACAGCTTTCCGTTTGAATAGTTAAGCTAAAAATTAGGAATTATCTATAGCCAACAGTCAATTTGTGAACTACAGAAACATACCTCAATAACCTTCTGTTCTACAGATTGTTCCCACAACTGTTTGTCATATGATCCTATCTGAAATTGTTCAAAAATAAAAGAAAAATTGTAGATATATAAACAATCTTGAAGGCAAAATTCAAACTTATACGAAGATTCAGCATATTCAACCAGACATAACACTGTTACTTTATGCTTATTGGTGTTGTTACTAGCTAACTCCTATTCAAACTATTCTATAAATATTCTTAGATATGTACATGCACCAGCAATATTCATTTGATAAAAAGAGTGGGGCAGTGTTTTCATATTTTAAGCAGCCCCTAAATTTGTCATTAATTATCAATAATTAGTCAATCACTATTATTATATTCAATCTTTTGAAATAAACAGCTTTTTAGGCTTTTAGCATAACTTGAGAGCAAAGAATGAGCATAATTTCATATTTGTGCACTTTGTATAGGTCACAAAAATGTTTTGAATTTTGTTTGCTGCCAAAGTAGTTTAAAACCTGATGGACATATGGTTACTTTTAGCTTATCATTGCTGGAAAAACATCGAAGTTAAACTACTGTGTATTACAGGCAGAAACTAGCTACATAAACACACACTTAAACCAGCAATAACACCAGGTACTTCAAATGATTTTGAGCCAGTAACGTTGATTTAATGAAACAGCTGAATCAGCTTGCTAGTCACAAGATAAGATGAAACTTATCAAACACACCTGAATTTTTTTCATTCAAACAAATAAAACATATATTACCTTTTGCTGATACCATGCAACAGTAGTTTGAACTCTGTCCATACCTTATGGACAGCTACAATATGTAATTTGTCTGTCAGATAAAACTTCTTTTGAAACAAAACAGTCCTCTTATAGTGGAACATATAAAATGATTCCTGGCTGAAAAAGTAAACCATTTTTAAACCGTTAAAATCACATCTTCTGGAATAGTATTTAAGCTTATCATACAGCAATGAGCATATTAGTGCTGCTATCGGTAGAAAATATAATGATGTGTCCCCTTTTTTCTCAAATGACCCCCCTTTGAAAAGTTTATGGGCCCGAAGGGCCCCCCTGGGAATCTGTTCCAGATTGAACACTGAAACAGGTATAGGAAAATTTATGTATGTTAATGATTAAACAATTAATAAGTGCATCATGAAGCATTAATTTGGTTTTACTTCTAGTTTGGGGTGATTTAATGTCCGATTTTAAAACTTATTACACCAATGAAAAGCTTGTGATCTTAGCTTTGTCTCAGTATATATTTCAACACATTGTTTGACACTTAAGGTATTTAAATTTACGGTTAAACCTAGCACAAGTCAGGCCATTTTACATACGTTTCAACAGTGAGATACGCGATTGGTTATCTTTACTCGCAATTCTACTGATAAGAAAAGCCTGTCGTCTGCTAGTTTGGAAACTGTCAATCCGTGTATTTGATAAATCATCACGCCATGGCCATCCCTTATACTATAGGTTATTCACAACAACCTCAGACTATTTTAAATTCTCATTCTTTCCTATAGGATGGTATAGTTTTCCAGCCCCTGTTTTTTTACATTTCAATATTCTTTTAGTTTTATCCTCTTTTAAACAACTCGTTTTAACTTTCTTGTGATTTTTGACTCGCAGACATGTCTACGTCCCCGCGAGGGTTTGACATTAACAGAAGATAGATAATAAATCATCAAATAACGGAAAATCAACAACTCTGATTAGAGATTAAATTAACAAAAATGGCAAACGAGATAATCGGAAACTTCAATTCACTTGTATCTAATTAACAGTGTTCGCGTTTACTGAGTAAACATATCAATTTACTCTCTAAAATTGCCAGGGAGGAAAGAAAAAAAGGGCTGTTGAGTCCCTGGGATGAAACACTTTTTTCCCCGATAATTGGTCAATTCTCTCTTAAGTTTTTTTGCTCTGCTTGAAAATGATTTTCTATTCACTTTAAATAAATTGTATTATAAGAACTTGACTTTCACCTCATTTTCATTTGTTCCTTTCTCATTAGCAATGCAGATTTATATCCCAAACGTAGACTAGGAGCAAGTGCTCGGCCTCGTTTTGGGCCAACCTATCAATGGTATCCGCGAACATCAACAGTCACAAATTTGATTGTATTATGAAGTTATGCAAACATTGACATTTTTGTAATTGAAGACTCGTTCCATTTGAATTGGGACGTAACAGATCTATTAGCACTGAGTCCCAGGTACTCAGTAAAGTTAGGGAAAATCGCTAACACTGAATTAACATTTTAAAATACTTGCATTTACTCATTATTTATTTGCTTTCCAAGATAATTATCGTCTAAAAAAATAGAAATAATCTTTTTCAGCAAAATAATTCATAACTAATCTATTCAATATGTTGCATAAAAGTTCCTACATCCTGTAACAATAAATTATTAAAACAAAATCAAAAGAAGTCGACTAGAACTGTAAAAATGGTGCATTTCAAAACGTGCTCAAAGTAAGAGAATAAAGTTCAAAGTTTAACGTAACAAATCCAACAGCCTCAGAAATAACATCAGTTCACACTTGTGTTCCACTCCTTGACACAATTTGACAGCAAACAGCTGATCTTTTGTTTTCAAAAATGTTGGTCGATATTGTATGCGCAATTTCCATTGTTTTAAACCGTATTGTATAATCTCACTTATCTGTAAAAATCAATTTAATATGGTCATAGCAAAACATGTGATTATTTTACCTGGTTTTAAATTCAAGACTGCAAATTTCTAAAAAAATTCTGCAACCTTGAGATTTTTTTCTTCCTTTATTTATAACCTCCACAACTGAAGAGTGATACCTAACTAAAATTCCCGTTGAGTACACCGTATCAAACCGTACAGAAACCGTCTGCTAGATAATAGCATAGGCACTCGGTTTCAGGATGAAATAACCCTTTGAGAGGTTTGTAGAACTTAAATATAATTAAATGTTACAATTATTTAACGTAGATGTCTCTTTTCTAAAACCGTCATTTTTCGTTTAATATCGGAAAAATGTAAGTCTCAAAGCCGTTGTCCCAGTGAAACGGCCGTGACAGCTCCTCGTAGCGGGCCCCTTGAATGTTGTAAAACACATTATTATGTGAACGTAAGTAAAAAAAATCAAAATGCGCATGAGTCCACTGCTTCGATCCACTGCTTCGACACAACGCGTCCGATTCCGTTGCCGATTCGATTTTATACAAGCTTGAAGGGTCCCCTTTCCAGAAAGACCTAGCCCAAGAACAACGTCCGTGAGAACTTGTCGCGCGCGGTCCGATTTTCGTTGCTACGTACTGATTTATATGTAAACGTACGTACAAACACACAATGCCCTCACAGCAATTGCTTCGGCACCGCTCGTCCGATTCAGTTGCGGATTCAATTTTGAACAAGCTTGAAGGGTCCATTTTCCAGAAATGTATGTCTCAAAGCCGTAGGCCCAGTGAAACGACCGTGAGAGCTCCTCGTAGCGGGCCCTTTTAATGTTGTATACCACATTATTATGTGAACGTTAGTAAAAAAATCACAATGCGCATGAGTCCACTGCTTCGACACCGCTCGTCCGATTCCGTTGCGGATTCAATTTTGTACAAGCTTGAAGGGTCCCTTTCCAGAAATAAAGTATCAAAGCCGTAGGCCCAGTGAAACGACCGTGAGAGATCCTCTTAGCGGGCTCCTTTAATGTTGTATACCACATTATTATGTGAACGTAAATAAAACAGGCAATTATCATAGTATTGCAAGCAATCCATAAGTCCCCTACCGGTTAGAACCCAAGCAACATTCTGATGGGCCATTGGCCATTCAATTTTACCAGTGAATGAATGACATGAATGAACTTAAATCTTTTGAGTTCTAAGTTTGTCTATATCACAATAATGTGTTAAGTTTCCCTGCCTAGTAAGGAAATAATGTTTATACAACCTTGTCATATTATTACAATGTGGGATTTTAAAGTAAATCCTATAAGGAATAAAGAAGTTGGAGTGAAAAATACCAATTTCTCGAAAAAAATCTAAGTTCAAGGGGGACATAATCCTGTAAATAGTCTTGCCAGAGTTTTTAACCTTCTCAAAAATGTTAAGTGATAATAAGAAACATATATATGAAGTTTGAAGAAGATACAGTAGGAAATAAAGAAGTTATTTAAAAAAGACAACTTTTTTTTTCTCATAAAAATTCTAAGTTCAAGGGAGATAATACTGATAATTTTTGTGCTAGAGTTGTAAACCTTGTCACATATGATGTGGTTGATGACCAGAAACTTATACTTAAAGTTTGAAGTAAACACCTTAAGAAATAAAGAACTTATAGTGAAAAAGCTGAAAAATTTAAATCAGAAATCTTGAAATTCAGGCTATTTGTTGCCAAAGCAACCAGAATTTTTAACATAGGAAGAAAAGAAAAAGATGTGCATAATCTCCAGACTGCCATCTACCCATATTTCAAGTTTCATAAAAATATTTTCAGTACTTTTTGAGTTATCACTGGATCCAGTTTATGTGTTAAATTTGCCATATTTTCAGATTATTTGTTGTCATAGCAACCAGAATTTTCAACATAGGAAGAAAAGAAAAAGACGTGCATAATCTCCATACTGCCATCTATCCATATATCAAGTGTCATAAAAAGCCGTAGGCCCAGTGAAACGACCGTGAGAGCTCCTCGTAGCGGGCCCCTTTAATATTGTATACCACATTATTATGTGAACGTTAGTAAAAAAATCACAATGCCCATGAGTCCACTGCTTCGACACCGCTCGTCCGATTCCGTTGCCGATTCGATTTTGTACAAGCTTGATGGGTCCCCTTTCCAGAAAGCTATGTCTCTGAGCCCAAGCCCAAGGACAACGTCCGCGAGAACTCGGCGATCGCGGTCCGATTTTCGATGCTACGTCCTGATTGATATGCAAACACAAAAACACAATGCGCTCACGGCCACTGCTTCGACACCGCTCTTCCGATTCCGTTGCGGATTAGATTTTGAACAAGCTTGAAGGGTTCCCTTTCCTGAAAAGTAAGGCTCAAAGCCGTAGGCCCAGTGAAACGACCGCGAGAGGTCCTCGTAGCGGGCCCCTAAATGTTGTATACCACATTATTATGTGAACGTTAGTAAAAAAATCACAATACGCATGACTCCACTGCTTCGACACCGCTCGTCCGATTCCGTTGCAGCAAGCTGTAAGGGTCCCCTTTCCAGAAATGTAAATCGCAAAGCCGTAGGCCCAGTGAAACGACCGTGAGAGCTCCTCGTAGCGGGTCCGTTTAATGTTATATACCACATTATTATGTGAACGTTAGTAAAAAAAATCACAATGCGCATGAGTCACTGCTTCGACACCGCTCGTCCGATATCGTCGCAGATTCGATTTTATACAAGCTTGAAAGGTCCCCGTTCCAGAAATGTAAGGCTCAAAGCCGTAGGCCCGGTGAAACGACCGTGAGAGCTTCTCGTAGCGGGCCCCTTTAATGTTGTATACCACATTATAATGTGAACGTAAGTAAAAAAATCACAATACGCATGAGTCCACTGCTTCGACACCGCTTGTGCGATTCCGTTGCGGATTCGATTTTGTACAAGCTTGAAGGGTCCCTTTTCTAGAAATGTAAATCTCAAAGCCATAGGCCCCGTAAAACGACCGTGAAAACTCGATACGTACATTTACATATCAATTAGTACGTAGCAACGAAAATCGGACCGCGATCGCCGAGTTCTCGCGGACGTTGTCCTTGGGCTTGGGCTCAGAGACTGTTCCAGAAATGTTAGCTTCAAAACCGTAGGCCCAGTGAAACGGCCGTGACTGCTCCTTGTAGCAGGCCCCTTTAATGTTGTTTACCACATTATTATGTGAACGTAAGTAAAAAAAAAACACAATGCGCATGAGTCCACTGCTTCGACACCGCTCGTCCGATTTCGGTGCAGATTCAATTTTGTACGAGCTTGAAATGTCCCCTTTCCAGAAATGTATGTCTCTGAGCCCAAGCCCAAGGACAACGTCCGCGAGAACTCGGCGATCGCGGTCCGATTTTCGTTGCTACGTACTAATTGATATGTAAATGTACGTAAAAAACACAAGGCACGTAAACGTGGTTCTATTAGCTAGAGACGTATTATTGTACAAGACTTTTAAGTAGTAATGGATTGTATATTTGTTAATATGATGATTTAAGTAAAGAAAAACACATTCTGCAAAATGTACAATTTTAATCCATCGATTTTCATATTAAACCATTCTTTCGATTCCAATGCTAATGCATTATCCCACCAAGGCAGACGAATAGGTGCTAAAATGAAAAAAAAATACAGTTATGAAAAAGACGAAGTAGATTTGTTAAATTAACTTTAATTTTTGTTTAAACAAAGTTGTACATCTTGGACTTCAGCTGAATGAAATTTTTTAATAGATTCTTCAAATCAATCAGTTATATAACAATATGAAATCTAAAAATGATATATTGTATTTTTTACTTTTTAATGCCGTTAAGTATTGTAAAGCACTAAAGTTTTGGTACATACATGGATTTTTCACATATAAAATTCATATGAGTGCTACACCTATAATCCTGCCATTCAAAGTTTCGACGACCAATTATACACATACAGTCTTCATCATGATTGCCAGAACCTGCATATATTTATTGAACAATAAGAACTCTACAGTGCTATAACATCCAGTTATAATGTACTGCATAAAAATACAGAGAAAGTTTAATAGCTACGTCAATAAAATTTTAAGTTCTCACAGATGTCTATTAATGACATTTACGAAATCTTATATGAACAAAACCCGTCAATTAAAAAACCTAAAAAAATCAAACTTTTGGTTTAAAAAAGTAACTACCAGAATCTGGTTCCCCGGAATGCCAGTTTTTATATCCCTGTATGAGTTTGTCTGTATGCCTGAAACCATCAATCCATTTCCAAATTCCTTCCGTGTCATCGTCACTTCCGGCAGTCCATAATCCAGACGCCTGTGTATGATGCAAATCTGGTAAAATACGGGAAAAAACCTGAACATATATGCCTAAACTATTTCATAATCATAATCAAGCTATTCTGATAGGTTTTGACGAAAGGACACGGCCGGAGCCAGTGATGACAAATTCAAGGGGCAGGATGTGAAGTGGTTGCACACTTGGTTCAAGCGAGCGAATTGGTTGCAAACTTGACAAAATGGCGAACACGGTGTAATTTTTTGAAACGGGTGAACGAATTTTTGCCAGGCAAGTGGGTTTCTTTGTTATTTTGAAGTTCATTAGTATGTCTATTCCATAATGCAATATATATGCCACACTCGGTTAAAGGTTTCAGCATCATAGATTCTGTTTTGACGAAGTTATTGAATATATAAACTGATCATGTAGATATTTTGAAATTTGACATGTGACTGTTCTGGTCGGTTTTTCTCCTAATTTATTCGAATTTGTAAGTTTTAAACTGCATTTAACAATAACAAAATATGTTTCTGTCAATGCTGTACAAGTTGTTTAGTTCAAAAATATCTTGTTCAAGCACATTTTGGTTGCAGACTTATACTTCAAGCATTTTTGGTTGCAAACTTTTGTGTCAATAATGTGGCATGCATATTTTTAGCGAGGAATAATAATCTTTTTTTTTTTTTTTAAATAATTAGCAATATTAAGGCAATTATACCCGTTCATCTAATAAGAAATATATATACAAAATGTGCATGCGTGCAGATATATCCTAACACAGGGTCTTTCAAATAATATGCTAAATTGAAGTTCAGTTTGTGATCTTCATCGTTTTTTCTCCTCGATGTACTTCTTTTCTTTTTACAAAGTCTTAAGACTTTTTTTATAACTTGGCATGACTAACTGTAAAGGAAAAGAAAAAAATAGCAACAAACAGCTTTTATATTTGTTCGTTTTAGAGATTTGAAATAAATTTGATTATATAGTAAATAAAAACTATATTAACATTGACACAAGGGCATGATTCACATGTTTCTTTATTACTGACCAATCGAAACATCTTCCAAATTCCCTAACTCGAACAATGACTTTAAGTAGTTTTGTCAAGTATCAGTCAATGTAAATAACCAATCGTTTATCAGTTATATTACGATCTAATTTAGAATACCAATTGTTTGTTTGTTTGTTTCATTTTACGCCTTTTCCAACAGTATTTCAGTCATATAGGCGGGTAGTTTCCTAACCATCGTTCCTGGAGAGTTACACCAGTACTAGACCACCTTCCTCCGCGCTAAACTACCAAAGCATCTCCCGGGGATCGAACCCACACCAGAGAGGTAACTGGATTAGAAGTCATCGACTCTAACCCCTCGACCACGGAGGCGGTTGAAAACCAATTGACATATGATATACATCAAATCCGATATATTGTTAATAAGCATGTCATTTTAACTTTTGGTTTCTAAAAATATTTTAAGTACATTTACATACTTTATGTCTAAAGCAACTGCTGATCTTTACATACGAAACAATTAACATTTCTTGTGGTTTTGATAAACTTTAGAAATTTTGACGAGTAACATCGTATGTGTGCACATATCCTAAAAATAATTCACTTACATACAACAGTACTCTTACATACGTTTGTTTTGTATGTAGTTTTCATTTGCATATTTTACATATGAAGTATCAATAAATATTTTTTCTATATGCTATTTTTTGTTTGCAGGCTTTTACTGATGATTATAATATTGAACTGAGAACCATGTAATTTGAAACGTGAAGTGCATAATTGTTGTAAAAGAAGAAAGAATAAATGACATTTATAACAAAAACAAGTAACAGAACATAAATGTCAATAATTGCCATTGAAAATACAATTTAATGACTACATTTAATATGTACAAATATTTGCAGTACATATTTTACATATTTTTCAATGTTTGAAAATTGTTGTTTTAGCATAATTATATAAATATATAGTTTCACGCAAGTGTGGTATACAATGGTATACAACCACAATTACAAAACATACAGGATCTTTAATAAAAATAACCTTCTACACTTCTTTTGCAAAGTTTTACTATGGATTTCAATAGAATAAGAATAAGTTTGCAACCAAAAATGCTTGAAGTATAAGTCTGCAACCAAATGTGCTTGAACAAGATATTTTTGTGTATTGAACGTTATCTTCGGATTTGCGAACTAAACCACTTGTACAGCATTGATAGAAACATATTTTGTTATTGTTAAATGCAGTTTAAAACTTACAAATTCGAATAAATTAGGAGAAAAACCGACCAGAACAGTCACATGTCAAATTTCAAAATATCTACATGATCAGTTTATATCTTCAATAACTTCGTCAAAACAGAATCTAGGATGCTGAAACCTTTAACCGAGTGTGGCGTATATATTGCATTATGGAATAGACGTACTAATGAAATTCAAAATAACAAAGAAACCCACTTGCCTGGCAAATATTCGTTCACCAGTTTCAAAAAATTACGCCGTGTTTGCCATTTTGTCAAGTTTGCAACCAATTCGCTCGCTTGAACCAAGTGTGCAACCACTTCACGTCCTGCCCCTTGAGATTGCTGCAGTAAAGATAGAACTCTAAAGTTTACTGATAGGTAAGTTATAAACTTGGTTGGTATATTTATAATATTACACAAATAAGGTAAATTTCATTGCAATAGACTTACTGTCTATAGACTGGATATGCTTTATAGTAATTTTGGACACGTTTCACCTTTTCATATTGAAGTTGGCAGTTTCGGAAAAGTTCATGGAAATGTTTTAACATATTCTGTGTGTCTTTAAAAAGTATGTCTTCAGTGCAAATGTTAACGTTCTGAGTAACACAACCGATCAGATGACTTCCTTTGATTTAAAATAGTTTTTTATCGCATTGGTAACTATTCCATCTTGTGACAATATTACAAATTAAAGTTTATAGACTAATGCTTCAGTAAAACACAAATTGTCACCTTAATGCAGTAATGGAATATGACCTTCTAAATTTAATAGGAGTTAATTAGTTATTGCACTATGGTGACGACATATCAGCAGATTGAAACCTGTACAATTCAATTTGTTTCAACTTTGAATGAGTTAAAAATGCAAAGGCAGAATTATTTGAGCTTGGAAATATAGTGTGGGTGCTAAACAATGAATATAAAGTTTCTTGCTCAAGAAAACCACGACTTGCCCCTGGCTGGACTTGAACCCTACTTACATTACTTGTCCGACGCGTTTGATCAAAATTAATGTATTGTTGTAGATAAGACTTCTGAAAGAAAAAAAAACATTGCACCTTTACCCTGATGTAACTAGTATAGAGCAAAACCAGATTGAACATCCTTGCAGTCTAATCAGGCTATATATGTAATGTTGGCTGACTAATGTTTTTAAATTTTTATCTTGATAATGGACAGTTCAAAGGGGGAGTGGTGGCCTAGTTGTTAAGGTGTCTGCCTTTCAACCCAGGGATCATGTGTTCAAGCGGCCATGTTTCTTCATATAAAACCAGTTTTTTTTTTGGTTCCAGGAAGTTGACTCGAAAGTGATTTATAAAAGTTGCAAGAACCTGTTTTGCAGTCGAGCTGAAATAAATATGTTTAAACAGTTCCAGAAGTGGAAGAATCTCAAATTTCATTTTTTTCTTCTCTTTTTCAAGTCATCACCTTATCTTTTCTATTACAAGTAGGAAAAGTCGAGTATACAACGTTAAATAGGAAATAAAATGCGTTATTTATAAAAGATAATGTCCAAAAAAAGATATTTGCAAACATGGTGTGAAATATGTTGCCCAACGACATTGACCTGGCACTCTTGCATTTGACCCTGTAGTCGGTATATCCCATCTACTTGTAAATCGATATGAATTTTTAAAATGTAATATAAATAGTAAGTTTGAATCCTATTTCAGCGATTTTTTTTTGATTTTTTGATTTTAATTTTAAAAGTGCCATTCCCTTAAAACTATTGCAAACCTTTTTGTTGTGTGTACTATCAGTATAGTATTTTTAATGACTGCCTTTATAGCGTGTATGCGCTAAAGCATATACGATTGCATAATGTCACAAAGAGAACCGTGAAAAGATACTGTAATGAAATAAAAAATATAATTGTGTATAAAAACACCACTTAAAAGGTGTTCTAAAACCAAGTGTAGTAAAACGATTTCAGATTAATTCTTGCAAGTAAATTAAAAAGAAAAATTCATAACATGGTGTTGGTAAAGAATGGAACCAGCGACATTCAGATCGGTAGTCCGACATCTATACCAATACACCACGCCTCGTTGACGAGTGAAGTTAGCAAATATATCGACACATTCGATAGATACTGGTCAGTTCTTATTCAAATGACCTTTTCGAAAGTAAATGAAGTGCCAGGTCAATATTGTTGGACAATATCTCCCACTATTATTGTTTGTATTGAAAAAAGGTCTTATTTAGAAAATATCATTTCGTACTTAGTTGTGTGCTTTCAAGAACGGTTCAGATGTTGTCAAATCTGAATGCCCACGGAATGAAATATTTTCCTTGTCTTAGATATTTCTCTTGTCTTGTTGATGGTTCTAGATCTTCCTTTTTTGCACATTGACATTCTCTAGTTGTTGTTTTATTTCTTAAGATTTATCTGGAGAAGTAGCCCTTGATCTAGATTTACACATGACTAATTATTTAGCTTAAAAAATGAATGCAGTCTTCATATCTGTACAGTAGATCTATAATGTCAATCTGACGTCATTTTCGGAATTTTCGAGGATCACTATTTGGTTTGAGTACACTTAATTGATTTTTTATTTTGCTTGAAAATAACTACATTTCAGCCATCTTAAGTCTTTGCGAATTGACTACGTCATTTTGCACGTGCTCTAACTCACGCCTGTTATGGAAAAATAATGCAGAGTAGCAAGGCGGCCAAACTTGCATAATGAACTTGATCTTGCCAAAATGACGTTTACATACCCTATATTTTGTTAGTGTATGTAGTTACAGATATTCAACAAAAATATGTGACACTGACACGCCAATGACGCTGTAATAACGTTCAAAACCTTGTGCATTTGCGGAGCTGGTAATTCCAGTAAAATTCAAAGGACCTTTGTAATTTTTACCACTTTTTCTCAAATATTTCTTTTGCCAGTCTAGGTCATTTTATAAAATTTCGTCTTGTAAGTATCTCACCCACATAAACATACTTCACTCGTTTTTCTTAGCTTGAATTCGATTGAATATATCTCTAGGCGAAACGGATGTTGATGTAATATCATTTCCTTCAAAATTCTAAGCAACAAGAATAAAGTCTACATCCATTCGATCTGTTCCTTAAACTCACACCCGTACATTTTACATTTCCAGGTACACACTTTCTATTTGTATTTTTGCAGAACTCCATTAGCCTGTTCTAATAACTATCCCAAAACATTAGCCATTTGACAGTGTTGAGTAAATGCTATTGATATACAAAACGTGACCATTTATGATAATCTTCGATATTGATATCACAATTGTTACCTGAGAGTGATCTTCTGTCGGAATGTAAATAAATGTTTTTACCATCATCGGCAGCTTCAGAATACTCAGAATACATTTCTGCCTACAGCGGTGGCATTTCTCTCCGACCGGACTATTTTAAACGCCTTGTAGCATTCTAAACAAGACACTATGGGTTAAAATTTGGCTAGCATGACTCTAAATGATAATTGTTTATGTATATAACATGAAATCCCTATAGTTACTTCAAACTTGAGATATATTGAACAAAACACAATCATTTTCACGGATTTTCCGGAAATGCCAATATAAACTCGCTCAAAACATTACATGAAAAAAATCACCTGATATTGGGACTAAAAATGTATATCTTTCTGTCCCAGCCTGATAGTATCCCCACTTAACGGACAGTAAGTCTAGATCTATAGCAATTAAATTTACCTTATTTACATACTATACAAAGTTTATATTTCGTCGGAAGTGGGAAATTGACACATCGCAACTTTTCTAATTACAAGATAACTATAAAAGCCGAAGATTGACAACGGATGCGAAGTCTAGTGTCCTGTTCATATTACTGTGTGTACAGTAGATGAAACAAGAAAAAAGGAAAAATAAAATAAAAATAAACATTAGTAAACACACAAGTGGTTGAAAACAAATAACACCAAGCCAGATTTGGTCTAGTGAAACATTCAGATTTTGTTAGGATATGTAATAAAACGTTCTCATTTCATGCTTCTGAACACAAACCGACGAACATCGAGAGAGAAACTAGTCCGAAGATTAATACGATAGTAATATTACAGGTAATCAGTAATTTTGCAAACCAAGTTAAAAGTAGGGAATATCTAAAATTGTATAAATCAACCCGAACTAAATATAATTATTTACATCTATCAAATTCATATGTCATGCCGATAGCCTGCATTGGCTAAGAAATAAAACAGAATTATTTTCATAAAATATTTAACTTTAATCATACTGTTAACAAAAGACAATTTCAAACGCGCATATGTAAATGATGCCAAAGATGAATGTAATTATTGAAAGGGAACATGCTCTTAATAAATAACTGTTTAATAAACCGGTAAATATTTTGTACTTGAAACAAGTACCAAATACAAGTACATGAACATGTCCTTAAAACAATATTGGATTGGTATATAAGCTGCAAGCTCTGTGGTATTTTCTGATCTTTACAATCTAAATCGTACTGTATATCTGTATGTATTTTCCTGTATAAGTTTATTAATATATACTATAATTCATCTTGCAGGGCACCGAGATGCAGCGATTTAGATTTTTTACTATAACAGTCTGAGTTTGATACATACGGAATTTTGCATGACTAGAGTTGCATCAAAAATCATTTATGTTCATTTCTTTTATGTCAGCCACACTTTATCCTTGCATATCGTGGCTACTGCCTTAAAATAGACACTTAAAAAAATAGTTGCCTCGACTGGAATTTGAACCCCAGACATCTCACACCTTAAACGAGCGCGTTACCCCTGCACCACGGGCAAAAAATCATTTATGTTCATTTTTTTATGACAGTCACACTTTATCCTTGCATATCATGGCTACTTCTTTAAAACAGACACTTAAAAAATAGTTGCCTCGACTGGGATTTGAAACCCCAGACATCTCACACCGAGCGCGTTACCCCTGCACTACGGGGAAGTTATACGAAGAATGCCTGATTAAATCAAATAATTCTAAATTTAGAATTTCCCTTTTGGGTTTGTGATTTTTATAAATTTCAAGGTATTTTGGTCACGATAAACCTGTTGTTTAACACTGATGTAAATAATTTAGCGAAAATCTTCTCGCCATGTATATATTCCACGACTCGACAGTCAGATTTATTTGTGTACTATGCTCTGAAGTATTCGGTAATCGACATCGCTAAAAATAGCATTTTCATTGATTAAAATGATATTCATCCGCGTAATTTGTGCTTATGCATTTATAGACAATTCTATAAGCCAACGCTACGTATTTTAAACTTTGAATGCGTTGTAATTTGTTGGATACTTGTAACAAAATAAATATATTTCTTTCTTTTAAATCGTTAGTTTTAAGCCATTTTAAGAACTACTTGATGTTAGGTTTGTCGTGAAATTCTGTGCCAGAGATTGAATGTCAGCATTGTATTTCCTGATCTGCGACCAGAAAATACAATAAAAATGGTCAGTATTGTACTAAACACTCATCAAGATCAATACATGTATATTGTTTTGAAAGCACTCAGCACGTACCGGTACATGAACATATAAACAATAGATCGCTATATTGTATTCAAATCACTCACCGATTATCGGTAGTGTCAGTTGTTTGAGAAAGTTGTCCTCTTCTGCAGTTTCAATGATGACAAGATGTGCCAGTTGTGTTGCACAGAATGACTTAAATTATAGACATATTCACATAATTTGACAATGAATGTCTTTATTAAGAGGTTAATACTTGTGTTGACTTTACGACAAATGAAAAACATTAATTCATTTCTTTCCTTCAGGCAATAAAAAGAAGAGATCTAGACTTGTAACAAATGATAATTAAATATACTTATCAATATTACTCGTATGTTACTTAACAAGAGCTAGCGGGGGCCACGCTCGACTTTTTCTTATTCTAAATTAAGGTAAAACAAAACAGGGGAAGAATATTTTAGAAAAGATTACTCCTACAAAACATAATTTTCTTGTAACAAATAAAATTCCAATTTCATATTTGACATTGACGGTCAAGGTCATTCAAAATTCAAAGTAACACTGGAATTAATCAGTTTTGTTTACAAGTGCTGTTTAGTCAAAGAATGAATCAAATTTGTAAGTAAATAAGAAATTAATGACAAATCATGCACATTTCAATAATTTGACTTTTACAGTAGAGGTCAATTGAAGGTTTAAACCATATCAGAATAATTCAACATGTTAGTTTTGTCATACGTGTTATTTTGTCCAAGTATGAATCAAACTTGGTAAATAACATAGTTATGGCATTTTAAACAAATTGCAATAATTTGACCTTAACCGTCAATTTCAATTAAAGGTTAAGGTCATAACAGGATAATTCAACCAAGTTTGAATCAAACATGTCCATAAACAACAAAGAAATGACAATTTAAGCAAATCTCAATAATTTGACTTTGTCGGTTAAGTTCAAATAAAGGTCAAGATTACATATGAATTATTCAACATACGGATTTTGTCGAAAAGGTTCTTTTGAAATAAAATCCTTAAATAAAAAACAAAGTCATGGCCAACTGTAGCAAAATTGACTTATTTAACCTTTAGTATCAAGGCCAAATCAAGGTCAATTTTAATTAATTTTTTAATGTCTTGTCCGAATGATTGTTGTGCACAAGTATGAAGGAAGTCTTGGGAGGGCATAATGTAATGTTGTTAGATTTTTTGCCCAACCCATTTGCTTTTGTTTTATTGTTATATTATGTGTGTGTATATTTGCATGTCTATAGACAATGTAGAATCATAAAAAAACTGCTTGGTATTTATGTTGAAAATTTTTATAATGCATACCTTCTTCCTATTTTTGATTATTTTTGTAATATATGGGGGAAAGAAAACAAAAAAATATATGTGCCGAATATACAAAATACAACCCCGAATTTGCAAAATTATTCTAGACCTTCCAGTGAGAAAACTACGGAAGAGCATTAGTGCGAAGTGTGTGTTTTTTTTATTAACTCGAAATTTCGGCTTACTAACTTGAATTTTTCAGTTACTAACTCGAAATTTCGAGTAACCTATCTCGAAATTTCGAGTTACTTACTCAAAATTTCGACATACTTACTCGAAATTTCGAGTTACTTATCTCGAAATTTCGACTTAGTTAATCAAAATTTTACCTTAATAACTCGAAATTTCGAGTAACCTATCTCGAAATTTCAAGTTACTAACTCGAAATTTCGACTTATTAACTCGAAATTTCGACTTTGTTACATTACTAGAATTGCCAAAGTTAAGAGTTACAAAGAGTTTAGATAATATAAGATATAGTAGGGAGTGCGGTTGAACGATGGAGATGGAGAAACAGGTGCCTGGACAAATTATTAAACTTAAACTTATTAGCGTGGTCACTTTTGACAATGACATGTACACGCCCGACCTAAAAACACAAGGCTTCCTTAAATTTGTAGTTCAGGCGTTCTTCAGTCGTTGTATTGTATCCCACCTGTTCGAACATATCTTTTCACTAACCATATTCTTCTCATCCCTGTGAATAAAACGATCATATACTTCACGTGTGGGACATCTGAAAAAAGTAACGCGGAGTGGCCAAAATAGGGCATGCTGAGGCCTTTGTATGACTATATTTCTTGTAAATTCGGATGATTTAATACTATTCCCAACATGTATATAACAACAAGTTCCACTCTTATCAACTTTTATCAACACAATATGAATCAAAGTCTTAATAAATAAGTGAATATAGAATATTGACAAACATCTTTTAAAAATGTTACAAAAACATTATTAGTATAAAGAAACGTGACAGACTAAGTGACTAACACGCCACTTAAAACTTAGTTAACACATTGCACAGTTTACAATAGGGTGGGTTTTGGACATGTTGTATGTCCACATGACGGTTGTTTGTGTGCTTTAGACACAAGAAACATCTGGTGAACACGGAAATGTGGAAAGTGTTATCCCCCCACACACAAAAGCAATCAAGAAAATGGAAAGTATATGTTCGGTATGTGTGGACAAATTTGACCCTATTTAATTGTTCTGTGAAATACATAGGTGCTCTGTTAATGTGCAACAGCTAAACATGAAAGAAAGTTTCTTGAATTCAACCCTTGCTTTCACCGGCAACAAATGTAAGTCGACATTTCTAGTTAATAAGTCGACATTTCGAGTTACTAAGTCGAAATTTCGGGTTAGTTAGTCGAAATTTTGAGTTAGTAAGTCGAAATTCGAGTTAGTAAGTCTCGAAAATTCGAGTTAGTTACTCGAAATTTCGACTAAGTAACTCGAAATTTCGAAAAAGTAAGTCGAAATTTTGAGATAGTAACTCAAAATTTCGAGATAAGTTAGTCGAAATTTTGAGTTGATAAAAAACATACACCTGACACTAATGCTTTTCGTAGAAAACGATCAGAAAAATTTATACAAAAGATTTAAAATATTGCCTTTCAAGAAAAAGATGTATTTTTCACACTGGTGTCCAAGTATTTAAAGCACTGAATAATATGTCCCCTCAATATATCCGAGACTTACTTATACCATATCAAATAATCAAAAGTATAATCTAAGATCGATATCTCACGGAAAATTTAATTTCGTCATCAAACCACGTTCTTCAATAATGTACCAACTGATCAAAGGATATGTCCTCTCTGTTATATGGGCCCAGATGACGAATATCACATTCTCTTGATTTGTACTCACTTTAATTCTATACGTAAAAACATTCTACAAGATATATTGGTGATAAATCCTTCACGTGAACAATTTATATCTGTTCTAAGAAACGCAGATGCGACATTATATAAGACTATTGCACGTTTACCATGCATGTGCACTTAAATATAAACGCCAATTCAGTACATAAAAAAGTACGTGCATAAAACATTATAATGGTAATTATATAGTGATCTACGAAATTCTCTTAATATCTTTATATATCTTTAAAAGTTTGATATGATGTCTACCAAATGTTCATATTACAATATTCTACGTACATTCATGATCACCTCATTGTATTTTCAATTGCTATTTCATGTTTGTTGTATTATGTTGTATTTTGGGCCGGAGGCCTATGTTACAGGAAATAAACTTAACTTTATTATTTACTTTATTAATTATTTTAATGACACATTCCAATATAATGTCATGGTTAATTGAAATTCCATAGTGCTGACTATAAGAAGAAAACAAAGTTGTCAATATTTAAAAATAGTTTCAAGAAATACTTATTTAATCAACTTTAGCACAGTCCGTGTGTATTATATATAAAAGACACGCTCTTTATATCCATACATTTGTTTTGTTTTTTTCTTATAATGGGTGTCTGTCTTAGTTTTTGACTGTGATAATTTTGTAAGTTTTTTTTTACTTTCTATATTGCAGATTAAAATGATGCATTGAGGAAAGCATAATATAAAAATAATTATTGAAATAAAATATGGTTAAGCTAAACAAGTATAAAGGCAATACATAGCAAAACGAAAACTGTAAAATAACTTATCATCAATTTAGTCCACTTGAAGGTCTTGTCCGAAGGATTGTTGTATACATGTATGGAGACAATCCATTCATAAATCACAAAGTTATTGTCAATTTAAGTAACAATCAAGCAAAATTCTAACATTTGACCTTGAAGATCATTGTCGTTTATGAGTCAAGGTCAGGCTCAGTCTAGTCTACTTGAAGGTCTTGTCAAAGGGCTGTTTTATCCAAGTATGAATATAATCTATTTAAAAAAAAACATAAAAAAAAAAAAAAAATCATTGTCTTATGTGTAAAATTTCTGGACGGTAACGGCAACCAACAACCTAATTGTAGCAATAGCTCGAAATATTTCTTCGCAAAAATCGAAAATATCAATGTCTGGCAAATTTCACTATTAAAATTTATGAACTCCGTTCACATTTTATTTATACATTAGTTATTAAATGATGTTATGTGAGTGATCAAACTTCTCTTAATAGAAAAATACATTGATATAATATATGAAGTTTCATACATTAGCATCTTTCCAGGTGTATGGACTGTCCGTGTGAAGCAGGTAACATGATCTATCGTTCATTACCCATCCAGGTGGACAATCTAGAAAAATATATATTGATGTTATATTGCCACGATATATAACAAAATGTAACATTATCCCGTTTATGACACTTGTTTATGTACATGAATAAGGCAGATCTTAAAACATACAGTTTCAAAAGTCTTATATTTTAGAGATAATTACCACAACGATAGCTCTACGTTGCTGGAATATGGATACTCCAGAACTCTGTGGGTTTCTCTTGTTCAAAAGATTTTTGGTACAAACTTAGCAAAAAATGTCGATATTAAGAAATTATAATGAGCAGAACGGGTTTGCAACTCGAGTGCACCGTTAAGTTATCACGGTGATACGGGAATAAATTGGGGAAAACCTCATTTGCCGAGTTCCGACTCATCCGGAAAACATATATTGAATGCTTGATAGATTTTGTGTTACGAAAGACATTCTAGTGAAACACCAGTAATGATTATATTGATGATACTGCAATATAATCTATAACTTACATGCGTTTGGAAGTTGTGTTTGTGGAGCCATGAGTATTCTAAAATGAAAAATTTGTTAATGAAATGATTTTCAAGTTATAAAGTCTTTACACCAACCTTCTAATTTTCAAATAAATTTGGTAAAATTGTTGATTGCGGAACAAGCTACCTCATTTTAAAGGAGCTCCATTGAGGTCAAAAATACTTTAAAAATAAGATTTGAATTTCTTACATTTTTGGTCATTTGTACTACTAAAATAATTATTCTGGAAAAACTAATAACTGGATAGAGCTAATGATCTGAAATTTTGCACACAAGTTAATGGTTAAGACCTTCATCAAACAGAAATTGATTTCCAAAAATCATTTACGTTCCCGTCATGTCAACAAAACCTTAGTGGAGTCTCTTTAAATCATTTATTTATTGTACAAAATGACCTAAAAAAGAAAAAAAACCATTAAATGTTTTTAACGCGATTCAGGCTCAGAATCGAAGAAAACCTGTGATATTTAATTTTGAATATTCTCATTGTCTTTTGCATAAATATTTTCTGTTTCTTTTTAGTGTCACAGCGCTATTTCTCGTATTTAAAAATTTCAAACTTTATGATTAAAGGGTTTGTACCTCAGTGGAGTACCAATCATATCCTCGGACATCCTTGTCTAGAGATGATCAAAGATAGAATTACCCACAGAAAAAAACAGTTTAAGATCACATTTGTTTATACACAAATAACGGTGTTCATTATAGGCTATTTTCTATGCGATACTGTTATTCTTAAAGAGTGAACTCATTTGATACAATGTATATTTACTTGAGTTTGTTTGTTGTTTCTTCTAATGACAAGCTTTGAGGGTTTTTTAATGCGTTTATTTAAGGTTGCCGCCGGAAAGCCCATATGGGCGACCGTACACTCAAGTCGGGCCATCTTAGAGCGTCCCGCCGAGATTTTTCGTCGATTTTATTCCAGCTTTATTGGTGGAGGAAGACCCCAGGTGCCCTTCCGGGCATTATTTCAGGCACGAGCGGGCACCGACCTTCCGTAAGCCAGCTGGATAGCTTCCTCAATAAAAGTTTTTCGCCCCGGGGGATAAAATACGGTTGAGGGCCCTGTTTTTTCAAGTCGGGTCCAACCACTCGCCAAGTTTGGGGGACTAGACAAAGTTTTTAAGGGACGCGTCAAGGATTTCTCATATTTTTCTCAACAGAAACCCTATCATAATGGGGTGCACAAAACAACGCTGTTTTGAAGAAGCCAAAAAGAGGGCCCTAATTTTCATTTGGGGTTCAAACCCAAAGATTCGGATAAGGACCCCTGGCTCTAACCAAAGTACCATATATATATATATATCCCTTTGCTTAGAAAACCAAGGTTTAGGATACAAGGATTAAGTAATATAAATGAAATAAATTATATTTGCTAACTTACGGGGTAATTGTTCGCCATACTAGAAAAATCACTTGGTCGCCAGTCATAGTCCGCCCATTATAACTTTTGTGTGCAACCATCGCAATACAATCTTCATCAGAATGACCATGATCTGAAATTAAATCACGTGATTCTTTTGTTAACTTTTTTTAATCCCCCTTTTTTTCTCTTAATAATTTTACGTGTTTTCATCCGAAAAATTTAGTAGTAAAAATCTGATTGTCGTAAAAAACCAGTAAAAATTTTATGTATTTGTCAGATATTTTAGAATGCGAAAATAAATTTAAAAAAAATATATCCTTAAATTTGTATATTACATTTTAAAAGTGAAGAAAGTTCTACCCCTACAGAAAAACTTGTTCATATTGCTAAAAGGTTTTATGGAATTAAAATTAAATGTTTGAAATTTAAAAAAGGAAACATAACAAAATCACCAAACACAACGCCGCACGCAATGCAACACATATAATAAACAGCATGAAATTTATAAATTTATTTAGTATAGAATCAAACACATTGGTGTATTGGTATAGTTTAGAGTACATTCTTTTTTCCCTGCATTATAGGGTATTCCGTTGAGGTGCTCTGACATGACGAGTCTGAACATATTTTCTCGAAATTTGATTACCATTTGATGAAGGACCGGACCAATAACTTGTGTGCATAATTTCAAATCATTCCCTTGCTCTGTTTTCCCTGAATACCCATTTTTATTGTGTGAATTGAAAACAAAATTAAGGCGGGACAACGCTTTTAGCTCAAATCGGGCTTTAAATTGCACAAAGTTTTCAATTTAATTGTGAGTTTATTTTTTTTTCAGCAAATTGTTTCAAGCTTAACCGTTTCAAGATGACCTCTGTAAGTAGTTAATTGGCCAGTAGTTTTCCTTTAAGTATCGGATTAAGATGGGTTAGTCCATATAAATCTATAGAGTGGATAAATATATTAAACGGCGATTCCAAATAATATAAAACACCAAAATAAAACAATAAAACAATTTCAAACTTACTGGAGTTAGGTTCGCTATGTCCCCAGTTTTTGTAAATAAGTTTTTTGTACGTGTTTGTGTAACTGTCATACCATTCCCAATGACCTTCACGGTTAGGATCTCCCCCGCACCACGTGACGTATCCAATATCGCGAAAGTGAAAATCTAACTGAAATTTTCCCCAAAAAACATATTCACTTTACATACAAAATTCATACAGTTATGGTTCTCATTACTTTTGAAATACAAAATTATGTACAATACTATTTTGTATTGAAATTAAAAAATAGATTCTTGAACTAGTAGAAGAACTGTAACAGAACTTAAAACAGTACTAGTAACAGTGCTGTAACAGTATTGTAACCGTGCTGTAAAAACTAGTAACGAAGCTGTAACAGAACTTGTAACAGTACTGTGACATAACTAGAAAGAGCAATGTAACATAACTAGTAACCGTATTGTAACATAATAAGTAACAGTTTTGTTTGTTTGTTTGTTTCATTTTACGCCTTTTCCCAACAAAAATTTTTGTATATAGGGGGGTAGTTTCCCCAACCATCGTTTCCCGGAAGGGTTTCACCAGACTAGGCTAACCCTTTCCCCCGCGCTAAATACCCCAAAAATTCCGGGGATCGAACCCGCCAGGAGGTAATGGATTAGAAATCATCGCTCAAAACCCCCCCACCAGGGGGCGGTTTATGTACAGTGCTTTAAATAAATTTAAAGGTATATCATGCTGCCCCCAAAATGTAATAGGCTGTAATATAACTAATAACAGTATTAGTAACAGTATTGTAACAGTGCTTTAAAAACTAGTAACATTGCTGTAACAGAAGTAGAAGCAGTACTCTAACAGAACCAGTAATAGAGCTGTAACATAAATGGTAACAGTGCTGTAAAAACTAGTAACAGTGCTGTAACAGAAACAATAACAGTACTAGTAACAATGTCGTTAGAGAACTTGTTATGGCAATGTAACAGTGCTGTAAAATAACTAATAACGGTACTAGTAACAGTATTATAATAGTGCTGTAAAAACAAGTAGCAGTTTTGTAACATAACCAATAAAAGTACTAGTAAAAACTAGTAATATTGTTCTAACAAAACTAATAACATTGCTGTAACAGTAACGTAAAGTGCCTTAAAGTCCTCAGATCCATTGTCGTCGTTTTTTGTATTTCTTTTTCTCTCCTTGCTTATTGGAGTGCAAAAGGGGATTTTGAAAAGGTGAAATATTTTCTATTTCTTGATCTGTTTTACGTTTTAAAATTGCAAAAAAACCACCCAAAAATACGACAAAAAAAGTATATGTTTTTGAAGAGAATGTTAGAGCTGTCGACGACCCAAATTCTTCACACCAAAAAGGGGAAAAACTTGGTCATTTGAAAACAGGGGAAGTAATTTTGTCCTGTAGTTCCCCTTCTAAGAAAAACAAACCATCTATTAAAAGAAACCCCGACTTTAAAAGTACCAGTTGCGAGATTTGGGCATATCTTTTGAAAACTGTCCTCACAACTTAATTTTAAATAATTGTTGTAAAGTAAAAAGGGATGGTGAAATAACATGTAATTAGGTTCTGTTTATGTAAAGCGTAAAATGTAAAGTTAAAAATCAATGATTTTTGTATAATTTGTAACGTTAACATATAAATGTGAATTATAAAAATTTAAAACTAAATTTAAATACTTATGCTTACTTTTGCTAATCTAGGCGGTGGGGGTTGAATTAAATTGAAATCACATGTTTTAATGGGGCGCGAGTTAGTTTAAAGTCAGTCCTACCATCCGCTGTCAATCGGTTGGGCGCGAGATTGAAAATCTCGCTAGGGGGTTCGTTTCCCGGGCTGGCCCCAACTAAAATTACTAACCAGTCTTTCGGATGAGATTTAAAATCGGGGGTCCCGTTTATGGTGGCACATTAAAGAACCGGGGAAAGTTTTCGGAAATAGGGCTTTTTCGTATTTGACTCTTGCACTACCCTCCAAAATATAAAAATGACTAATATCTTCTGGAGGACTTGGCTTGGGCAACCGGTGCGAGTATAAAAAACTCAAATACACAAAAAGTCAGTCACTGTCTATTTATTCAAAAAAATTCCCGGGTACTGAATGGTGTTTGGGGCCCCGAAAAAATTAACTTAATAGTAAAAGCAGAACTTATCCCAAATGTTTTGTTAATGTGCTGGTTGCCCCCCCCACCACCCTTCTTTGTCTAAAGGTAAAAAGAAAAAGCCAGGAAGGCAAGAGTTTTGACAAGTACGGATGTACAGCAAAAATTGAAGCAAAAAAAAAAGAAAAACGAAGGATATAAAAATTAAAAGGAGAAAAACGCAATGATTTCCAAGAAGGATTATAAAGGGAAAAGGAATTATTTTGAAAAAAAGGTAATGAAGAAGAAAAAAAAACCGAACTGAGAGAAAAAAAGAGAAGAAAAAATTAAATTCAAAAAGGAAAAAAGAAATAAAGTTAGTAGGAAAATTGAAGCCAGCACTTTTTAGACCACAAGAACAATATCAAAAACTAATTTTTTAAAAAAAAACACTGATTTTCTTTTTTCTTCAGGTAAAAATGAAGAAAATTTGTCCTAAGAAAATTTAAATAGTTGAATGCACCATTCGTTCGCGGGATTAATCGACG